GACTAATTTTTAAAAAGTTAATACTCTTTTTATTAAAACAATTTGAATACTTTATATTATGATTTTATTTTAAAAGGGAAAACAAAATTAGTTTGATTGAGTCACCATAAATCTTATTTCAATATAAAATTAATGCAGTAAACAAATTTTAGGTTTCAATCTCAATTCCAATCATATGTTAATCAATTTAAATTTTTATCTAACGATGTTCTATATAAAAAAAAATTTGACCAAAGATTTCAAATAAAACTTGATTTTATAATTTAAAAAATTATTTATATATATAATAATAAATCTATATACAATATAATACCATGAGAAAAAAGGATTGAAGAAAATTTTTTTTGCAAAAATAAGAATTATATCAAAACTCGACCCCCTGATGAATTCAAAAGATTCCTAAATAATTGGATATCAATCCATTGATACTGATTTAAAATCTGTCAACCGAACATAAAAAATTGGAATTATTTCATTCCCCCGTTCCAGAATCCACCCAACAAACACACCCTTAAGTATGTCAAGTCGTTGGAATTCCCTTGTATTTCCCTTTGACATTTGTTTATCATTTTGATATATTTGTCAACTCATTGAGATTTTATGTAATATATTTGTTGAAAATATATCATCTTTTCTTCCCCTAGTTCGAATGAAAATGTTTTACGAACTTACATTAGAATTTAGTAATATTTCTAGTTATTGAACTGAGGAGGAATAAAAAAACTAAAAAATTGATGATCAATCACAAGTGGCCTCTGTGATCCCAATTAGTAATTCATGAAATTAGTGCTCTGGTATATGATATGGCAAAAGATACCTCCTTCCCTTCCAAAATTATTTTCTAGTTTAGATTTTTATTTATAGTAATTGAACTAAAAGTAAAAATCTAAACTGGACAATAATTTTATGAGAGAGGTAGTAGTTAAATATCCTTTCATGTATTCTGCTAAATCGAGTCGCAGCTAAAAAATTTTAACAATAGAACTTGTGTGTATTTGATGGTGAGAGAAGAGGAAGTCGCTAAAGAACACAAGTCAGAACAAAATTCTAAACTTTGTTGACATTATAGTATTTTGGAGTTTTTTTTTTTTCCTAATTTCTCCCTCCTTCAAAAAATGATTGTCTACGATGGCAATTGAATACTCTTCTTTTCTCCCATCTCAAGAAGGATTGTTTGAATACTCTTCATTTCTCCCATCTCAAGAAGGATTGGGTAGATCACAGCTTAACAGATTTCATTATGAGTGCCGATTCCTTTCTCTGCAAGATTATTCTCACTCTGTGAGTTCAGTATATATCTTACCAGTAGAGTGTAAGCCACGACTACATATTCTCTTTTCACCTTGAAAACAATGAAGCTCCCTTAGAAAAGAGGGAAACCAATCCAGACAAGTAACAACTTCTGTAGTTAGTTCTTCTGAGAGAAACTGCTAAATCTGCTATTTGCTGGAGGTGGTGGCGCGTAGTCCCAACTCTGATTCTTTCAAGTTCAACTGTAAAAAAATATCTTTATGGTTAGATAGCTTCTAAATTGATTGTTCCCATATGCATTCAGCCTGAAACTCTCCTTGGCCCTCTTACACAAAAACAGTAAAAAATGTGGTAACGTCATTTAGTCGATGCTGCTATTCGGCAATTTCAGTGATGCAACTCCCAAATGTGATTAACAGATCCCTATCCATAATGCAAATGGAATGTACTCCACCGGTTGTTTGTACGAACATTAGCTGATAGACCTGACCAACCAAATAGATCGAACATCTTAATTAGCTTAATGTGTTGCATGTTCTGGATGGTTTCCATGATATTATCCTTAGGATCACAAGTAGAGAGCTGAAGACCACAATATTAGAACTTCAGGATGATCATATGATATGATGGGATTTGATTTAAAAGCTCATCCACAACATCATCAAGGCCATTCTGGAGAGATGCATCCTAATTTACCCAACAAAAGCCTTGCATCTTTCTGCATTTATATCCTGGGAGGCTACTGAACGCCTTAATTTTTTCATTTGAGCTTCTTAAAAAACTTTAAAAAGACTATTTTACCCTTGCATATTTATTTTTTTTTTTAAAAAAAGGGAGGGAGCGATGAATTTTTGAGCCAGCCTTTCACGGCTGGTGCAGGAGATACACGCCACCCTTTCACGTGTGGTGTGCGGGGTGCCGAGCAATTTTTGTGCCCCTGAAAAGGGGGTGGCGCACAAATCATGCGCCGCCCCTCCCCCCTCGGGTTTGGCGAGTAAACCGCTCGCCAAACCGATTGTTTTTTTATTTTTTTTAAAATTTATTTAAGTATATTTATTTATTTGTTTGGCGGTTAAATAAATAAATTTAACTTAAATAAAATTTTTTTAACTTAAATATTTAGAGAATGTTGCTTAATTTTGTATAGTAATTTATTATTTAATTATTTAGAATTTTTTAAACTTAAATTAAAAAATAATATTTAATAACAACTAAAACTTATGAATTTACTACCAACAATTATTTATAAATAACTAATAAAAATACACTAATTATTTATATATTAATGAAAAATTATCATTTACTACCAACTAAAAAATTATCATTCTCTAAATATTTAAATTAAAAAATATTTATTTATCATCGGTGCATCTAGCCGTTCTGAGAATTTTTTTTGAAAAAATTTAAAATAAAAAATATAAAATATAAATTCATATTTTTATATTTCATATTTATTATAAAATAAATATAAAATATGTTGAAATTTTATATTTTTATATTTCATATTTATCGTAGAATAATATAAAGTACGTTAAAATTTCATATTTAACCAAAAAATTACCTATTTAATATAACAACTATAACTTATGAACGTAATTAAAAAATATTTTCTAAATATTTAAGTTAAACATTATTTATTTACCAATACCATAAACCCTAAATATTAAGATAAATTATCCATTTAACTATCAATTAACATACATTTTCTAAACAAATATTAAAATACCATACACATACTCAAATAAAATAAATTAATTAATTAAATTAAATACATGAATTAAATAAATTAAATAAATATATGAATTAAATAAATTTATTAAAATAATAATTTAAATAAATAAATCAAAATAATTAAATACATTAAAAAATAATTAAATAATTAAATTAAAAATAAAATGGGTGGCGCACAAAACGGCGCCACCCATCAAATGGTTGGCGAGCATTGACAAAGGTGGCGCCCAAAACGGGCGTCACACCTTCGCCTCTAGCGAAGGTATTCTCGCTTCCTTGTAACGGGCGCCACCCTTTGCGGGGTGGCGTGTTTCTCCTGCGCCAGCCGTGAAAGGCTGGTGCAATTCTCCCTTCCCACCTCCCCCCTTTTTTTAAAAAAAAAATAAAAATTAAGAGTAAAATTGTCTTTTTATATTTTTTTAAAGCGCTTAAAGGAAAATATTAAGGCGCTCAGTATCAACATTCTTTACATCTAGTTTAAAGGATTCTGATAAAAAATAAAATAAAAAAACTCTAGCAGAGATAATGAATAAGGCCTTTCTGAAATTTTGTGGTACAATCACTGCCGAGGCGTTTTCTGTATTAAGGATGGTGGACGACTTTTTTTTTGTTAAAATGCCGAAGACAACCAAGTCCCAGTATCATCTTCATACATCTTCTCCCCTGCAGTTTGGTTTCTGTCTTCTTCTTCTTCTTAGTTTCCATCAAATTTCTTCATTTGCCTCAAATCCTTCTTTGCATCACGAACCCAAGACCATAACAAAAAGGGAACTTCTAATCAGATCTAACCAGTCTCTGGCAGTGCACGACAAGCTTTCTCATACTCAACATCTCTGCTTTTCTATAAGCCCATGTACAACACATCAAAAATTGGTTACAAGAATGCGCCATTCTCATAACTATAAGCACCAATCTCATCAATGCATCAATCATGAATCATTTCTACAGATTCTCAGCAATCAGGATTCCATACCGTAGTAAACTATACACAATTAGACCGTATGGTTTGCTAGCTTTCCGATTTCAGACTTTTCCTTAGTTAAATTCTTCAGGTTCAAAAGGGCTGTTAGTAAGCCCTGGCATTGTGTGAATATATGCAGAAGAAGCTAATGATGAGAGCTAAAGAAAATCTTTACAAGGAACATTACCTATCTTGGGTCGTACTACTTAAACAACCTCTCTGTATTGATATACAGGGGTAAGACTGCGTACACCCCCCAGACCCCAACTGAATATACTGGGTATGTTGTTGTTGTTGTTGTTCTGTAGTTACACTAACTATCATGTTTAGGGATGCTGGAGGTGGATTTTGGGAAGGTGGGAGTATATATCAAATTAGTCACATTGTCTTGCAATTTTTATTCCATTTTCACTTATGTAGAAGCCCCTAATCATTGAGTTTCTTTGGTGAAGGTTTCCAATTAGCCATTCCATTCGGTCAGGTAGTAAACCATAGAACAACATGAATTGGCAGTTAAATTTCCCTTGCATGAATATGTTGTTCAAGAGTTGGCGATTCAGTCGCTGCAGTTCCTAACCATTCAACTCTTCAAATCAGTACATTTTTCTTACCTGGAACATTAGTTCAAATGATTGTAAAGACAAATTGAAGAACTTCATCGATGATATGAAAATAGCTCAAAGAGACGAAAGGCAAGAAAATGGGAGAAATATATGTGCTTGTGATAGAACATTACCAGGTAAAAAGCTTCCAACAAGGATGAGACTTCAAAAGAAAGGAAAGACGGAAGTACTTAGAGCGTAAAAAAATAGGTATCCACACAAAGAATATAAACTTTCCGCCATAGACGGGAGCAAAATGCATTTGTCATCAAGAAAAACAATAACCAAATATTGCAGGAAGAATGAATGCTCGGAAGTCGGAACAACTCAAACAACTACTTAAAGGTGCTATGCATGAAAAACTACAAAAGAGAACTTGTGGATTCACTTGTCATTAAAAATCTGGCCAGGATTCTTTCAACATTCTTCTAGAGCCATGATGGAAATGTCAACTCTTACCTCACATTGAACAGCATCTTGAGATCGTTTACGGTTAAGGCACTTGCAGAGCCCTGACGTGGATCCTCACCAATGACATCCGAGACCAATTTTCTCTTTTTATGCTGAAGCATCAAAACTCGGTCTTCAATGGTCTGTTGACTGATTAACCTTGTAACTGTAACGGGACTAGTCTGTCCGATTCTGTGCGCTCGATCAACAGCCTGATCTTCAGTGGTCGGATTCCACCATGGATCCAAAAGTATCACATGATTAGCAGCAACCATGTTGAGACCTAGATTTCCAGCTTTGAGTGACAATAAAATAACAACCACCTCAGGATTGGTGTTGAAATCTTTCACAGCCAAGTCTCTAGCAATCAGTGACATTGTGCCATCTAGCCGTCTGTATTTTAAATTCGTACGGCGTAGTTCTTCCTCCACCAAGTCTAGTATGCTTGTCCACTGGGAAAACACAATAGTCTTTGCCGGGTTGGAGATTTGCGATTCATTTTCTTGTGGACTAGAGATTGATGGAACTTTACAGCAACTCTTTAGAACCTGAAGGGCAGCATTGATCTTGGAACTGGACTGGTTCTTTGGGATTATTAGAACTTCTTCATCATTACTAGGTGAACTGGAAGAATCATCGTCAATATCATCAGAGAGACACTCTTTCAATATTTCTTCTGTGAAAATAGAATCCATTCCAATATCTTCATTGCATCCAGCATCAGGACAAGTGATAGACTCCACCTCTGTCAAGTGATTGATCACACATTCAAAGCAGTAAACATGCCCACATATAGTAACAACAACAAGTTCTGGCGTAGGATCACCGCAGAGACCACAGACAGCAAAAGGGCTTTTCAATACCTCTAATAAACTCTGACGTTTTTCTTTTGGAAGGGTCAATCCAGTTTTCAAAGCATCTCTACTGACAATTTTTTTGTACGAATTCTTCACAAGCATTGGATGGTCACAAGCCTGGCGAAGCCGTAGAACCATCAACAGAATGATAGACCAGTTGTCTTCAACAGTTCCTGCAGCCATAAAACGTTCAAACACTTCACGATAATTTTGTTCGAGTTTGAAGTAGAAATCCCGTTCCTTATCAGAGAAATCTACCTTCCTCAAATTTATTGTCTTAGGAGGTAGATCCAATATCGGTTTACCATCAATCAATGTTTCTTTAGTTCGGCGCAACATTATGGGCTTCAACACCATTCGGATCCTCTGATATCCTGATCCTCCACATTTAGGTTTCTGAAAACCTTTGACAAACTTAATGAAATTGCTGTAAGGATCATGCCTCAAGAACCTGAAATAGCTATACAACTCCTTAATCTCATTCTGAAGCGCCGTCCCAGATAACAACCACCTGGTATTCGCCCTGAGACTGAAGCAAGCTCGAGCAACTTTGACCCTGTGGTTCTTAATTATGTGAGCTTCATCTAAAATTACCCTGAACCATTGTACTTTTTAGAGCGTTCCTTGTGCAGAATCGTCTTCCTTATTTTTTCTCTTCCGCTTCTTTGATTTTGACTTTACCTTCTTCTTCTTATTATCAGGAACAGGCTGTTTTCGAACTTCCATCGAAACAAAAGCATATGTAGTTAAAACAACATCATATTTTGCCAATTCAAATGGGTCCAAGGTCCTTTTGCTTCCATGATAAACTAAAACACTGAGTTTTGATTCCTCTGCCACTTTCTCATCCAATTCGCGAGCCCATTGTCGAAGTACACCAGCTGGACAAACAACCAATGTACCACCTGCAGGCTTTGCCCTGTACAATCCACTCCTAAAAGAAGAACTCATTACTGTTTACTGATGGAACTTCTTCCACATTTTCGGATTTTACTTCTAGCTTCACAAATTGTTCAGTTTTAACAGCACCAGGAGCAGTGTCTTCGTCTACCAAAATCAATCCTTCAGGTGGTTTTACTACAGCAGCGGGTACCTTCTTCTCGGTCTTATGGGTTTGTTGTAGTGGCCTATGCATTTGAATAAGAGCAATCATGGAGACTGTCTTACCCAAGCCCTGATCATCAGCAAGAATTCCACCAATACAAATACCATGTCCTTTCTCCTTCTCCATCATCCAAGCCAGGGCTATTTTCTGGTGCCGAATCAGCGGAACAGATAAAATCCCCTCTGGCACATCAATTTCGGTGGTGGGTTGATTTAAATCCTTCAAAGCTTCTTTAAAAAGTGCCCTGTCATCTGCTTTCCGTGATTCTCCATCCGAATCACCTGCACCGGACTTGGACGAGCCGGGTTTTCCGTCACCGGAAAAACTCTTCTTCGTCCCCCCTGATTGTGGCCGCCTAGAATGGCCATTCTGATTAGTGCTTGATGAATAATTGTAGGACCCCGGGTAATCTTCTTGCTTGACTGTATTCAAGCCGGAGGAAAAACATGATGAATTCTGCCGGGAAGAGTAGCTTGATGAACCAGAATTCCAATTCGGGTTTATGCCAGATGGACAATAAGAGCCGGGATAATCATGTAACACAACAACAGGATCGGGACGCGGGAAAGGGTAACTTGATGAACCAACCTTGGAATTCAGATTTCTAGTTGATGAATAATGAAACCCCGAATAATCTTCTTCTGGCTTCACGGGATTCATGCCGGAGAAAAAACTTGAAAAATTCGTCGGGGAAGAGCAACCTGATGATATAAAACTCGAAGGAGGAGGAGAAGAAGAAGAAGAAAACGACATCGGGGAAGAACGTAACTTCCCATCAACGCCCTCAATTAAAATTTCGCAATCTGAATCATCATCAGATGAACTGATTAAAATAGGATCCATGATCAGATGATGGTTCAGGCGGAGTTCTCAGAATCAAAAAACTGAACACCTAGGCGCCACCGAACTATATATAGGTATTTACTTTTCCCTAACGGACTGAGGCCCGCGAAGTAGCAGCAGTGGATTCCGCCTCTCTCCGTGAATATTATGAAAAATGTTTTCTAACAACTTAAAAGACTACTTTAGGCTTCCTTATTGATTCCGCCTCCTTTACATATTAATTTTCGGTGTCTTTAATTATTTAGTTTTAATAGTGAATAAACGGCATGAACCTTAATGAGAACATCTTCATCAGGGATTATTAACCGCAAGAAATTTGAAGTCTCTAGCCTTTATGCAACAAGGTTTTGGTTGCTCTGATGATTTAGTTACAAATTAAAATTATCGATGCTTATTAATTTTGTATATTTTATGTCATGAAAAGAGAAAATATAAATTCGAAAGAAGTGCTTGCTTCAATCAATATTATGAAATTGAATAAGTAGACATCAGCTTTCTTTTCTTTGGTTAATCAATGGACGAAGAACTAGGGTTAGAATCTTTCTGGAGAGATGAGTCAGTATAGAGCATAAAAAACAATTGATTAAGGACACAAGTTTTATTCGGAAGGGAATAAAAAGACTAAATGTTATTGGTCGATTAAAAGGATAAATTAGGCATTTGTTATATTAAAAGATGTATAAAAAAATATTTTAATATTCATACTAAATGATAAAAATGGTAATGCCCTTCAGAATAATATTGATAATTCCCACGCCCTTTTTAATAATTCCCCCAAACCCTTTTCCGTTAAAATAGGAATATTATCTCATAGGACTTTAGTGCGAGTAAAATTTCCAGTAAATTCAGGTGTTTAATGTTTTTTTTTTCAACTGTAATTGCTTTAAATGACATATTGTACACCAAACGTTATTCACAAATCCTACACCAAACGTTTTTGTCATATTTTTTTTTGGCTTAATAAGCTAATAACCTGTTTCCTGCCTGGCAGAATAATTAGGAGTAATGAGCTTTCATAAGCTTAGGGGCTGATGTTTATCTACTCCCTCCATCCAAAACTATTTGTGTCCAAAAACATGCGTCTCATTTGATTTGATACTGCACTTAACAAGTTACAACAGACAAAGCAATCCTCACAATACTGTTGGGAGGAGGGGCATATTTGCAGGATGACCAAACTCATTGCCTTACTACATACTCCCTCCGTCCCAAAATATTGTCTAGTTTGAGATTTCACTTTTAGTACAATTTAAACTAGAAATGAAAATTTCAAACTAGACAATAATTATGGGACGGAGGGAGTACTAATTTACTACATAGTACATTTCTCAAATCACAACATTTTATTTCTCACATAATTTTATTTGCACGTCAAAACAAATGCCTTTCAAAGTTAAGAACAGGTCAATTGAAACTGTCTCCAAGTATTTTACGCACCGAAAGACTCTGCCTAAGTGCCAGTATTTGTAATTTACATTTTCCCTTTATATAGGATTTTTTCAAAAATCAGTAAAATATGACAATGGGGTCGATAAAGGAGATAGCATAACAACCAAATATCTTAACTGGGTCCAAAAAAGATAGTATAAGGATTTAACAAAAGGTAGTGTCCCAAGACGAGTCTTTAGAAGAAGTCAAAAAAATCTGAAAAGAAGCAGCAATTGCCCTACATACACAATCAGCATATGATATCATAAAATATCTCAAGGGAGAAAAGGAGTCACAATCATAATGATAATCCAGAAACAATAAACCCTCAGAATCTGATAAAGCCAAAGGAAACAAAGCGACTGATAATCCCTAAAGTGTTGTCTTTCATATGTGAGATCAATTAACAACAGATATATTGCTAATTTCAGCAACAAGAATCATCAACTTCATGAAAAGCATCAACACTATGTTACTAAACTTCAGGAAAATCAACAATTCCTGAAGCTGCAACCAACATGAAAAGGCAAAGGCATTACATTAAACAATATGAAAACACCAAAACTCCAAATCCCTACACCTAATGAGAGAGCAATACTAGCTTCAATCCACTCTCTTTCAATTTGTAGCAAATTACAATTAAGCATGACTGGACATGAAATCGTGATTACTCCAGACCTTCCTACTCATCTGGCTTAGAAGCTTCCTTGATCTCTTCAACGCCATCATCCTAAACCATAACAATGACCAATTTCGGTCAGTCTGAAAATGCCACCAATTGAGTTTAATGAATAAACACATACTACAACAACAAAGATACATTACCTGCATGTCTGAAGTCCATAGGGTAAGGTTATCCCGTAAAAGCTGCATTATCAAAGTGCTATCCTTGTAGGATTCCTCCCCTAGTGTGTCCAACTCAGCAATGGCTTCATCAAATGCCTTAAAATGAAACGAAAAGAATAAGAAAACTAAATCATGATGAAAAAAACATATTAACAAAACCCCACAAAAAAGGGAATAAGACAGAAGCCAGCAGTCAAACCCAACACCAACACACAAATCCTACAAAAATGAACTGGAACACCATACCTGTTTGGCGAGGTTACAAGCACGATCAGGAGAATTCAGAATCTCGTAGTAAAACACAGAGAAATTGAGTGCCAATCCAAGACGGATTGGATGTGTTGGAGCAAGTTCTGCAACTGCAATGTCCTACATACACAGAGGAGACATTGTTTCAACCATCCTTAGTACAATTCCAAGCAACATATACTTACATAAAGATCTATCAAACATACCACAAATTACAAGAAAAGCTACTTTCATTTTTCATTGCAAAGTAGGCTGAATAATACAAACTAAACTATATCACAGAGTCGAAAGACCAGATTATACTTTACTGACCCATACTATTACCAGATCAACTTAGCAAACTGTTTAAATTCATAGAACATTAACATCAAATCTTGAATTCTCGCTATTACTAGCATTATTTAGCAATATGCAATAGTTTAACTTCAACGGCGAGTCAGATCCGAAACGGGAAAATATAACAATAAGAAGAAAAAACAGAAGGCATCACGTTTTCAGTCATTCGCTAATAGACAAACAGACAGAAATTCCGAAACGGTTCAGTAGATTTAGCAAAAGTCTAACCTGAGCAGCCTTGTAAGCGGACAGAGTGTTCTCAGCGGCTTCCTTCCTCTCAGCTCCAGTCTTGAACTCCGCCAAGTACCGATGGTAATCTCCCTTCATCTTCAAGTAGAACACTTTGGAGTCGCCGGAGCCAGCCGCGGCGATGAGTTTTCCGTCGAGCAATTTCAAAATGCCGTCACAGATCGACGAGAGCTCCGACTCGATTTTAGATCTGTAGCTCTTAATCGCCGTCACGTGGCCTTCGTTGCCGCGGCTCTCCTCTTTCTGTTCGATGGACGAGATAATACGCCAGGAGGCTCTCCTGGCGCCGATCACATTCTTGTAAGCTACGGACAGGAGGTTCCGCTCCTCCACGGTCAATTCATCGCCGTCCACGGCTGAGACGACTTTCTCCATGAACTCTACCATTTCTTCATAGCGCTCCGCCTGCTCGGCAAGCTTTGCTTTGTAGACGTTCTCCTCGCGAGGCGAAGCCATTGTCAGTGAGTTGGAAGGAAATTTAAGAGAGAGAAAATGCTTTGTGAGAGAGAGAGAGAGAGAGACTAACTGTGTAACTGTGTGGAGAAGAAAACAAAGGGGCGGTTTTATGGATTCTTCGCTGGATTTCAATTTGGTATTTAGCAATTTAAGAAGTGCCCCGGAAAAAAAAAAAAATTACTAAATTAAATACGGGTATGAAAATTTTAATGAGAGAATTGGGCCCATACCTTTGCGAGTAAATTGAAAAGGTTGGATCAAGTCCAATGGACATTTCAGTTAGTGGGCTAGAATTGGACTTTTTAATTCAGCCTAGAGAATTTTTTTTATTTTTTTATTTTTGTTTCGTAAATTTTACTAGTGTTTTTTTTTTGCTATTTCAATGTCTTATGGTGTGTTCAATGTCTTATATAGATAAACAAAAATGCCTGTGGCTTAGGTAACAAAACATCTCTTTAACTACGGGACGAGGATAACCTAGAAGGTTATTGTTAATTTTAGACGGAAATTTTGACAAAACATGTCTTCCTAACATATAAGAGAAATTAAATTTTATTACAGCATCCGTTACGATATTTCGTGAACTTCACTTACACTTATACAAATTTAAATAAGTTTCATTTCCTAAAACAAAAATTCTATATATCGTAACATGTCCTGAATCACGATACTTTTTATCGTAAAATGGAGCCATGAGGCCATGAAGATGAATATTCCAAACAATTAAAACTGAAACTCTTTACCACTCGGAAAATCAAAGGAACCTCTATGAATAGAGTTTGGTATGTCAAAATGAATCTCTCCCCCCAAAATTTACTTGAAATTTTAACTTGCGTTTTCTAGTATTATTGTACTTTTTCTATCCAAAATTATTATTCGATTTAAATTTTACTCTTGGTTTAATTTGTATTAAGAATGAAAATCCAAACTGAACAATAATTTCGGGCCGAAAATAGTATAACTTACAAAATCTTTAGATTCTTTCGAAACTCATGACTGAGCGATGACTATTGTACACAAACTTCATCAAAAGCCAAAAAAAAAAAAAGGAAAAAAAAAGTGTTGACTCATGAATGAATATTGAGGGATCATATTTCGACTATCTAATCTATTAGTTGACCAGAAGCATGCTCTATTGTCCATTCACACATCTGAACGAAATAACAATATTACATTTTTAATCCAAAAACAAATACCGAAAAGGCATCTTACAACAAATGATCCAACTGGCCGGCTGCCTATATATATTCAGAATTAATATGATGATCCTATTCCGTGAGTGTGCGCACTTGATTTTTCATATGCATGCATGCACTAATAATTTGTTGAAGACCTGCAGGGAGTCACGCCATAGATAGATTCCCAATCGAATGACATATATATTTTCAGAATTAAAAAAGACGTACAGTTATTAATACTATTAACCATGCATATATCATAATTGTAATGCTTCAGAAAGAAGTTAAAACATTGCTAAAACTATTAAAATATTAATGTAAGAAATATGTTGAGAGGTTTTGCGAAAGAATGTACTCTTAATAATGATATACATATCTGCTGAGTCCAATATGATTTTTCAATTAAACTCCTTTATCGAGCAGTTATCATCCTTTTACGACAATATCTGAACAACATATAGCCTTGCTGTTAATTGTGTTAATCGTCCAAAAAAAAAAAAAAAACATATTGAACTGGATCATCATTCATGTGTGTACCTTAGCGCACGAGTTAGTGCAAGGACGTTTCACGGTGAATTAAACATGTTCCAACTCAAACTCAACGAGCTGATTTTACTCAACAAATCTTTACAGCAATTACAAGAATTAATTTGTTGGCCTTGCGTACGGGATCTTGTTTCACAGCATGATTTAAAATCCTGCTTCTATTGTGTGGGGTAATAGAAAATATGTTGTGTGGAAAGACTGTATTACCTCTGTCATAAAAAAATAATAATAATCCACGTTAATTTTTGAGATTTTTATTAGTTTTAAGAAATACAGTATCTCAAAATTTAAAGTGAATTATTTTTTCTAAGACGGATTTGAAGTAATTAACATTCATACATGTCTAATATCTACAATTGACGTCCCGGCTAAGGGAATCAGTAAACACGAAATGATCCATAGGCTATGTGTGTACTGATTTGGAAATGACTTCTTGCACGAGTAAAGTACTAGCAATACATTTCGGGATGGAGAGTTCATTACACATTTTGAGTCCTTTTAAGTTGTACTCCCTCTGGTATTTATTATAAGACATTTTAATTTAATCCTAAGTTTTATCTAAGATGTATTTTTAATTTGAATAAAAATCTTAAAAATATGTCATAATAATTAGGAGAATACAACGAATGTAAAAATATATTTTTTATTTTCTATTAAAAAAGATATGCTAGATTAAACCTAGAGCGAAATCAAAATGTTTTATAATAAGAACTGGAATAAGTAGTAGTTTCCACAATATTGATCATCAATCCCGGGAGCATTTTGTGTATTTTTAACCGTGTTTCACAATATTGAGATGTATACGGTTAGATTGCGTTAGTCACAAAATCTCAATGGAATTGAGAGCATATTATTAGTGTGATCAAGTTTAGACCAAAGTAGTCATAAAAGCATATAGAGTTGATGAGACTTACAAGCTTTTCTAAAAAAAGAAAAAAAGAAGAAGAAAAGCGACGCACAAATTACAAGGGCTAAAAACAATCCCTAGCTATTGTATTTTAAGTCGCGAATACCATATGACGAATGTTTTTCATTGATACAATATTTTATTATTATTATTATTTTCTTTTCCCTAAGGTATTTGATTTCCTTCTCTGTGCCAAAGTTATCAGTGGGAACGGAAACAGCTCATATGGATGGTTTCTTTGTACTTGTCTAGTTTGATTAAGGTCGTATTTTTCTAATTATATTTTTTAATATTTTTTGTGCCCCAATTAATTATTTTATTATTTATACAATTTTCAGAACCCAGACAATACAACCTTCTTGTAATAATATTACAAATAAAAACAAAGAGGATAAGAATATATAGGTAGTACAACATCTTATAAAATCTGTGCTGGAAAATTCACGAGTTGGTGTCGCAATCGGTTGAGAAATGCATGTTTTTCTGATGGTGGATTTTTTTGGTGGTTTTATATATTATTATAGAAGATATGGGACCATGGACCCAAATAAGTGAAGAACATCAGGCAACAAACGAAATATCACATGTGCCTAATTAGTACGTTCGTTCCGGACAGGATTAACAACATCCACAGACTTTGTAATTACACATCTGGGGTTGATATTTTAGATGTAATAATTGTCATGTGATTATGATCCAACAGAAAATATCAATTAATGCAACAACACGGTGGCCGATCTAACCATTTTTTGATAATCTGATCATCTTCTTAAACAAATTCAATTATTATGATCCAGCTTTACAACTGGAAAGTAAAAGTAATTACTACGTCGGGGTTAGTCCGACCGAGCTGATCGCATCATCCATTTTGTTCCTAAGAGGAAACTAAATTGTATGTTACGTAATTAATCATGAGTGAAGGTTTTTTTTTTTATTACTATTTACTAATAATACACTGATACAAAGATTTAATAATTTTATCTGCTTCAACCTCCATCCATATACTGGAACTTTAGGAATAGTATGGTAAGATAGAACACACGTTATTACGGTTAATACTCTGATATGAGCACTCTCTAAGTTAGTATTATAAATTATTTATTGAAAGTTTTATAGTGTGAAATGGAATTGTTTGTTTCAGATATAGTACAATAAGAACATATGTACCATGTATAACAGAGTTTTTAAATACTTATCACGTAACAAGATGCAATTCCAACAACTTTATTACTCCCTCCGTCATTATTAAAAAAAAATTAATTCACATTGAGTTTTCAAATTCATACTAAAAACAGTACTCTCTCCATTCCAAAATAAATGTTGTCCTACACTTTGCACATAATTTAAGAAACTCTTAAATATGGTAATAAAATTACTTGAATATCCTCAACCAACCCCATTATAAAATTGTCCACCAATAACATCAACTCTTTTGAGGATAATTTTGGAAATTTTTGACAAAAAGTGCATTAAAATGTGAGAACGACACTTATTTTGAAATTTTTCCATTTTGTTAAAACGACACTTATTTTGAAATGGAGGAAGTACAAAACTTAAAACTCAAAGTGGACTATCTTTTTGAAACCGAGGCAGTAAAATTTAAAGGTATCAAGATTTAATTGAACCTTTTTAGATCTCTTTAAGACAAAATTAAAAACATCGTCATCAACTATCTTTAACCTCCATTTGGACAATAGAACACGAAGAAGGTTTTTTTTTTAAAAAAAAAAAAAAATATTACATTATGTTCAACTAGAAACATCGATTAATGCCTGACACTAATCCAATAAGCACAGGTAATCTTCCCTGAAAAACGTGATTACTATATGAATTGCGGGCTGAGGAACTCTGTATTGCAGTTACCAAAGTTATTCAGCCAATTCCAATTCCAAACACAGTGGAAAAACTGGCACGTGTGACTCAGTCATCACCCAGAGAAAAGATGAAAGCTATGGCCTATTCCCTACTAGCCCAGAAACAACCCCACCCACCTTCCCTACCCTCCACTAGTAATATGGACTAATTTACATAGTATACTCTGTTTTCATTACTTTGCTTCATCTTTCGGACATTTCCCCTATTTAACCACTCTATCCTGTTTCACAAATATCTTCTATCATCATCCCCACAGAATCTCTTTTTTCTTTGCAAAGCCAGTCTTTGAGTAATTTTTGCAGAGGAAATGTCATCTTCAATTGTGAAGTATGCTTCTAAGGATACTACTACTACTACTACTAGTAGTAGTAATGGTCATGAGGATCATGGGAATGAACGGATTGATTTGCTTCATGGGTCTGCCGATTTAGGGGCTTCTCCCAGTCTCTCACTTCCAGCTGAAACTTTCCTTCAAGCAGCCATTTCTCTCAAAGATGAGGTATTCTATTATAAAGAAAAACCAAAATTGAAAGCTTTAATTTACTCTAAAGGTTCAATCTTTAATCTGGGATTTTTTATTTTTATTTTTATTTTTTTATCTGTGTTAAGGTTGTAAAGATTGTCTAGTTTTTTCTAATGTATTATTTGGGATGTTTTCTGATGTGGGTTGGGGGGGGAAATTGTTTCATTAGGTGGTGCGAGTTACATGGAGAGAAAAATGCAGCAATTATGGTGGCACGGATCCATTTTTGTTCACGGGATTACTTGGAACAGCTTTCACCTGCTTCCGAGCCTTTGAGGCTACTGGGAATATCCACGACCTGAGATTGTGCACGGAGATTGTTGATGCTTGTGCCTCTCTTGCTAGTTCCTCCACGAGGTTTGTTTGTAACTTTGTATCATACTTGATTTTTTTTTTTATTTAATTTGGTGCACTGTTATTTATCTAATTAACAAGTAGACAGGATTATTGACTCTGTGGGATTGAGGCTGGGACTCTTTTTAGCATTATTATTGACCAAAATGGTTTTGTTACTGTCAAGTTGTTGGGAATATGCTTCAAAAGATGGGAAGGCATCTGCTAAACGTGTTGCGTATGGAGTCTGACTAAGCTGGAATAATTTGTATGTGATAAAGGCTTATGTGTCAGTGACACATCCTGATTATTTTAACGGCCTTCATGTTTAGATTTTTAGACTTGATAGTAGTCCATGCTAATGTCAAAAGCCTGTGCTGGAATGCCGAAGACCTCATTCATTTAGAAACTTTTTCTTTGTGGGGACGTGGCTATGTATATAGTTATATGGGGGCTCTTGACATTGTGGGCGTGAAACATGCCCTAGTATATTATGTGTTAATTTCATTAGTTTGATCGGGTCTTAGTCAGGAATATGGAGAAATGATGTTGATTACTAGTTCAAAATTATTTAACTGTTGAAATTGTGGCATTGACTTGTTTAGGAATTGCAAAGTCAAATAGTTGAAAAGGCCTGCTGAAACCATTTTGTTGTCACTGAAATAAACATAGATTTTATGTAGGCTGGGGGAAGGAAGTTACATTCAATGTACTCCAAACTAGGAAGGAAAATGAGATTTGTAATTCATTTGTAGCATTCAACATCCAGAAGATATTCTTAATTAAGGGGCTAAAATGCACATTAACCAGAATGACCCATTTGTCATGAAGGAAGAGATTCTGGGGAGTGACCAACGGCTTGCAGCCTGCTATGGTTGTATAGTTTGAGACGTATGCTTTCAAATTAGTTATAACTCGTGCTGTAGATTTTGAGACCGAATACCATGGAACTCTGGATTTGTTACCAGTTCCTTATTCCTGATCTGTATAAATAGTAAAAGCATAGGTGTGAGCTCTCTCAAAACGATACTAAGGTTCCAACCGATATTTTTGGTTAAGACATCTGTGCATATGTATATGAGTTACGGGGATGATGTCTGGTCTATGCTGAATAGAAACCTTTGAAATATCTACAGTACTGATCACTATGATAAAGGCTAAGGATTTTAAGTTACTGTTGGATAAATTTGGACATGTATTTCCAAAATATTTTGATTGCAGAATGAAGTATGTAGTAAGTAAAAAAGGTCAAAATACTTTATAGAGTGAAAGATATCAAAGACTTGGGTAATTCAAATTTATCATGGCCAATGTCCAAAGAATCTTGTTTCTGAATAGAACATTTGGGAATGTCGATTTCTTACATTGTTTTTCCATTGAAATCATGCAAATCTTATCATCCTTATTCATTTCCCTGGACCAGGCACATGACTTTTCTTTGTGGTAGAGGAGGGGTCTATGCACTTGGTGCTGTGGCTGCAAACTACTGCAGAGATCAGCAAAGGCGTGATTTTTATCTGGATAGTTTCCTGGAGGTACTGGACCAACTTCTTGTGTCCTTCTCTGTGCATGTTGGCTTATCAAACTGGCGTAATCTGTATTTACCAGCTTTCTCCCTCTTATTAACAATGACTGTTTATTTATTTTTGCGAAGTACATGTGCTTTACAACTGCTACAAGTATTGATCTATTTTTCGTCCCCAGTTGCAAAGTACATGGTGAAACTGGAATTGACCAAAAGTGCAATAGCTGATACCAACAGGCTAAAGATCCTTGTAGTGAATAATTGTATTTTCTCATTTCTTTTAGAATTAGAGAAAGATGTCAATTTAGGTAGGTTTATGATGGCAATTGGAAAGATTCAGAGATTGGTGTTGATAATTTGTAGCTTATGTTAAGGTGGTTCGTGGGGAAGCTGCGGATAATTTATGTCTGTAATTACATATTATGGGGTCAAATACATCTATCCTACTTTGATCTTAACTGTCTTGTACCCTAGCTTCTGTTGCATTGTGTGCCCTTGCTAGAACATAGAATGCCTTTTTGAGTGAATTTAATGTGTCCTGTGATCAATTCTCCCTTTAGTATTTGCATTCCTTACATATGATCTAGATGGATTGAGTGGGGATCCGCATAGCCTGTTTAGTTTTGATATACATATCAGCATGAGTTCTGTTAGCTGTCTCTATAGTTTGATAAGTTCCAAGCAAACTCTATGGAAATGCTAATTCCAGATATTCTACGTGCTGTTAGGTCGCACGGGATAGAGACCTCCCAATTGGACCTGAAGATGGTGGATTTGGAATGTCATATGATCTATTGTATGGGCGTGCTGGCTTTCTGTGGGCAGCTTTATTTATAAACAAACACTTGGGAGCAGAGACAGTTCCTAATGATCTCCTTATGCCAGTAGTTGCTGCTGTATTAGCAGGAGGTCGGGCAGGTTCTTCTGTGAACACAGCATGCCCATTGATGTATAGATGGCATGGAACGAGGTACTGGGGTGCAGCCCACGGCCTTGCTGGTATTCTGCATGTGTTACTTCACTTCCCAACCCTTTCAAGAGATGATATTGAAGATGTTAAAGGGACCCTAAGGTACATGATGAGCAATCGGTTTCCCCACAGCGGGAATTACCCTGTAAGTGAAGGAAACCCGAGGTGCAATCTGGTGCAGTGGTCTCATGGTGCAACTGGCATTGGTATTACCCTGTGCAAAGCATCAGAGGTAAAAAGTTTATAGTGTTGGCATTTACCCGTAGTCTGAAAATATATTAGAAAACTTTGCTTAAAGTGATCTTGAAAATATGCTGAGGGAGGGATAGAAAGTGAGTGTATCTTGTGCATTGAGGAAATGATGCTCTTAAGATTCTTGGCTAGTCTTACCGTGTGACTGATTTAATACTTTACCTTTATTATGCAGATGTTACCGAATGATCGGGAGTTCCGGGATGCAGCCATAGAGGCTGGGGAAGTGGTGTGGAAGAGTGGGTTAGTTAAGAAGGTTGGTCTAGCTGATGGTGTTGCTGGGAACACTTACGCATTTCTCTCTCTCTATCGGCTTACAGGAGAAAGCATCTATCTAGACCGGGCCAAGGCATTCGCAAGCTGCTTATATCACAATCAAAGAAATGCCTTGAATTTGAGCCCTTCGATTGGTGCAGATAGTACCTACTCTCTTTTCCAAGGACTAGCCGGAGTTGCTTGCTTATGGTTCGATTTACTTGCACCAGAGAAATCTAAATTTCCGGGCTATGAAATTTAGGCTGGTTTAGTTTTGTGGCAAGAATTTGAAAGACACGAATCAGGTAGGGTGTGCTTTCAGATTTCTTCCACGACAGCTTTTAAGTGGTGCCCAGCTGAGCTGAGGATTGCGACTTTGCCGTATGATACTAACCTTGTGTATAGCGCTAAGGTTTATGCGTGGACCTTGATGTTTTCTTCACTGTAAAATGTTCCTTCTGGGAAGAAAAATAATGGAGAAGCAACACGATGATTTGGTATAACTTTTATGTTTGTTCTGCAGTCCAAGTTGTGAGTTAATACACCGAGTTCTGAATGGTCAGTTTGTTTAACTTTCACAAGTTAAGGTGTACATGCGCAATGGTTTCTTATGATGTTCCAGAAGCAAAAAAAGAGATTTGGGACTTTAAATGCCTCATCCAAATAATAATAATTGATGAAAATCTTAGCTAAGACAGAAATGAGACTCCATCGGTAAGTGGCAACATTCCAACTCCATGTCTCCTCGATGCCGAAAATGAAGCTTACATTTCCAGATTGGTCAATTTTCCATTTGAAGAGGGGATTATTAGGAGGAATGAGGAAAGGCAGAGTGGATAGTGGATCATTGGCAACATAACAATGGAATACCCAATTGTCATTATCGTGGCACAAACAAAATCACAATCTTTTAGCACTTAGCAGTTGGGACCATTTTGGATGCCGAATCCAATACCCTTTGCAAGTGAGAATATTTTCGACTACTTTTTCTGGTCATTTCTCTGCTTTGTACTCCGCCGACTTTTTTGTACTCTGCCGACTTTTCCTAAAGTGTAAATGGAAACTCCACACACCTAAATCCAATAAAGCATGATTTTTACTGCTTGGTGATTAGACAAATGGTATCACAGAATTTCGAATATGTAGTACTAGCTTCTTCTTCTTCTTGCAAAAAATCGACAAGACAATGTGACTGCTATACATATGTATGAATTTGGCATTTTAGGTAACGATTGATTGGGAGCGGAGTTATCAGTTGTCAAATTTTCCCACCTCTGCCTGCCCCAAAGATAGCTGGAAAAAATGACAGGAAACAAGTAACTTACGTAGTGAATTAGTTTTAATCATGGTACTACTACTACTAATACATTCATCCTCGTACAGCTCAAAAAAAACCAGTTGCATTTGATAGTAGTCAAATTTATGTTAGAAGTTCAATCAATGGTCCCAAATTCCTAACCTGAGGAGGTATTGTAATTCAGCAAAAGTTTCTTTCAACTTAATTAGCTCAAAGACAAAAACATAATTTGAACCATTCGTGGTAAAACAACAGCCTTAGCTCAATGAAATGATTAAAAAAAAAAAATGACAATGATAAGTTGAAACCGTTGACCTGGTTTTATAATGACATTAACAATAACGGCCCATATCAACTACCAGTTGTTGTCCAATCCTGCCAATTCCATCCTCACAATTTGATTCATTGTTTATTTTTTAAAGGGTTTTTTGGCTCTTCTTTCAAGGAATTCCAGCCGCTGAAATTAGGCCACGTGTACACATGTAGTCAAGCTCAATAAACTTACTTTTAGGATGGATGAACTACGTAACAGAAGACTTGAACAGAAACACCCAACAAAATTCCAGTTTGCAAGAATGGGACTAATCATCTGTTATTTGCCCCTCCTCCCAAGTATGGAGATGTTAAAGTTGAAGATGTAGACATGATTGAATTGAACCCAAGAGAAGAAAAAAAAAAAGGCATATATATTGGAGAAGGGAATCATTTGGTTTTGTTGGTTCAGTTCATGCAGAGAAGATATTATTGATTGATTGATTGATTGATTGAAGCCATATTGTTTTTAGCTGGTAAATTTTTTTACACAGGAAATGGAAAGGTACGAGGTTCTGAAAGACATTGGTTCAGGGAACTTTGGTGTAGCTAAGCTGGTGAAAGATAAATGGACTGGTGAGCTTTTTGCTGTCAAGTATATTGAGAGAGGCCAGAAGGTCAGCTTTTTCTGATAAAATTGTTTCTTGGTTGATTAAGTACTAAGAATCATTCTGAGTTTTTTTGGTTCCCTGTGAAATTGCAGATTGATGATAATGTGCAGAGAGAGATTATGAATCACAGGTCATTGAATCATCCTAATATCATTAAATTCAAGGAGGTAATCCATCCTCAGATTCTCAATTTACAAGTGCTGGAAACAAGTTTATAGTTTGAAAAGGGTGATGAACAAGTTCATGATGGATTCATTTGACTGACTTCTTTTGTTCTGTTTTTGATTACTGAAGATATAATTCTATCATCAATTTTTTATTTTTTCCACTTGGATGGTAGCTTAGTTTTACTCGGAACTGATTCAGACAGCACTAAATTTGGCTAAATCACATGCTTTTAGATCATCGAGTTCGAATTGTGTTTTATGATTGCCATCAACTAGCAAGATCCAGCTCAAATGATTTTCGACAGAATTCGTTGAATCCCTTTATAGTTTTTGATGTTATTAACAGGTTATTTTCGACAGATTTATAGCCGGTCATGATTCATGTCTACCATTTTTGTGCTGAAAGATGCAGTTGTTTCTACTTTGGCCACTATTACAGAGCAGATAAAGTCATAAATTAGCCCTACTTATGTATATATCCTCAACTTTTCGTCCAAAACTTCCTACAGGTGTTCCTTACGCCTACTCATCTTGCCATTGTCATGGAATATGCAGCCGGAGGGGAGCTTTTCGAACAGATTTGCAATGCCGGTAGATTCAGTGAGGATGAGGTATTTATTCTATTTTTAATGATCTTTTTTCTGATTGGCATTTCTTGAATCAGAAGTGTCAGCTTCTGAAAGCCTTTGCTTAAAGACTAATGATAAACATGGTTACTTATTGTCAGGCAAGATTTTTCTTTCAGCAACTTATATCAGGAGTCAGTTACTGTCATTCAATGGTACTTTTTGGTATTTCGAGTTTTCAACCATTTCAGAGCTTATATTGAATCAAGAGATAAACTAAACATTTTACATTCCTCTTTTGCAGCAAATTTGCCATCGAGATCTTAAGCTGGAAAACACACTCTTGGATGGAAGAACAGAACCGCGCCTCAAGATATGCGATTTCGGCTATTCTAAAGTAAATGATCATGCTTTTGTCTAACCAAAAACATGTCGTTACACTAAAATGGTTTCAAGTCACTCATAAAAATTTTCACGATTTTTCAGTCTTCAGTATTGCATTCTCAACCAAAATCGACCGTCGGGACGCCGGCCTACATTGCACCAGAAGTCTTCTCAAGGAAAAAATATGATGGCAAGGTATCTAATCTGTTTGGCAGTTATCATCTTCCTCTCCTAATTATTACTAGTAAATAAATACACAATAATGTATCATGATTCCGTCACCTAAAAGCAAACGTAAACGTACAGTTGACTGACTTATTCCATATGGCTAAGAAAAGATTGCAGATGTTTGGTCATGCGGGGTTACATTGTATGTAATGCTGGTTGGTGCATACCCTTTTGAAGATCCAGATGATCCCAGAAACTTCAAGAAAACAATCACCGTAAGTTACCATTACAATTTCCCAACTTCAATAACGAATCATTTCATCACATCAAGCATTATTAATATTGACTGTTTCTTTTTTGGGATTCATGAATTGGTCTTTTTTTAAAAAAAAAAATGTAATGCAGAAAATACTCAGTGTTCAATACTCAATTCCTGATTACGTCCGCGTCTCCAAGGAGTGTATACATCTTTTGTCTCGAATCTTCGTAGCTGACCCTGAAAAGGTCAAAATGTCGATTATTTTTTTAAAAATCCTTTTTTTTTTTTTTCATACTTTAAGATATGAATGATTCAAGAATAAGCAAATCTAACATGCTCACACATTTTTATTCAGAGAATTGCAATTCCAGAAATCAAGAAACATCCCTGGTTTTTAAAGACTCTGCCTCCTCAATTTTTGGAAGCTGAAGAAGAGGTTAGCGGACGAACTGTCGAAAATGGCAACAGCCCTTCTCAGAGTAATGAAGAAATATTGGCTATAATACAAGAAGCAAGGACATCGCCATTAACAACAGGATTGACTAAAAATGGAGAAAACTATCTCGGAAGCAGCAACGACGACGTCGATCTTGATGATGATTTTGATGTAGATGACACAGAGACAAGTGGAGATTTTGTTTGTTCTTTGTGAAAAAAAACATTGCCTCATTCATTGTGCATCAAAGATGCTTTTCAGGGGCCAACAAATCCAGTAGAATTGTGTAGCTTTTGTGTAGATCTGCAATATTTGGTGCCTCTATTGTTTAATGAAATAGCAGTTTGAATGTCCTTTTCAGATGCAAATCAGAGGTCATCGTAAAGTAAAATGAATAGTCAACTTGGTGTGTATTGTGATGTGCGACATAAGTATTTTCTACCAAATATCTTTTCTTTAATTCGTGAGTTCCTTATAAACATAGATTAATTACATTATCTGATAGAAAACTATAGCTTTAGCTTCTTGTGGAGTTGTGGGGACGAATTTATTGAGTTAAAGAGCTAATGGTTAAACATGAACATGTTGTAATCCAATGACCTGGGAATTTAGTGAATTTTTTGAAGGTTGAAGATATGAAGATAAGATGCTTTTTGATACGACGAAGAAGAAACAAGTGTCCATATTACCGAGGTTCAATGCAAGTTACTTTAATCGGCTGTTGTTTTCAGAGCATATATCATACACATACTCCACTTACTATTCAAAATCTTACTCGAAACTCTCCTGTCGTAAAATAATTGTTTAAATTATACTGAAAATAATTATTCAAATTTTTCAATAATTTACTTTATTAAATTAACACCTGAGAAGTAATGATGGCATCAATATCCTAAGGACAGATATGAACTAAATTATCAGACAGCTAAAAGATTGCGGCAATGATCCATGCATGCTATCATTATCAACCATGCATTGACGAGTTACTTATGAATTATTCTTCATTATTGATTTATAATATTATACTCTATACTCTATCCTCTTGTACCAATGTTCATTATGCATCTTCCCAACCGTATGATGTGAGTAATTTTTGCGTACACTAGCGAAACGCCAAGTTTGGACTAGATTACTTTATAATCAAATCGGGAAAAATTAAAATTCATTCACTACATTCTTAACCTAAAGTTTTTACTAACGTACAGTGAAACTGTTTGAAATCTCATCCAACAAGGAAACAAGCAGAAAAGTCAACTAGAGAATCGTGACAAAGAAAATGAATTAAAAGTTGACAAAATTTTTCATGAATAATACCCAATCACATATATTTACATCACTTATGGATTTGAGAAATTCATTTTTTAACCAAACAAACAAAGAACTAAATGTATGTTCATCTCGAGCGATGTTTATTTTTAATAATAACTTTTTGGGTCAGTATCTGTATAATTATCATGCGTTTGTGTAATCTAATATTATTTGATCAGATTATGTATCTCCAAAATAAATCTAAAAATGTTTTACTAAATAAACTTGCAACTTGACAAGAATTATAAAGATTAGCTGGTCTCAAAATGGCGATAATAAAAAAAAAAAAAAAACCGTTTTCAATTTTAATGAAACTTCCGATCCTTCTGTACCAAATTTTCACAATCATAGTAATAAAATTTCAGGTAAATATCAAATACACCCGCGAGATTTTAAAGTTTCTCTAACGAAATTTTCTGAAAGAACGTAGCGCAGCCCAATGTTTGACCGAAAGATTTTAAGCCCAAACAATCAACAAAACCGAAAGCCCGGCCAGGCCTAAAAACCCTACATAGCAAAAGAAAAATAACGGCCTCCCGTCATATATAAAGCCCCGAGACACTTTGAGAGAAACCCCCTAGTAGTCATATAAAGTGGAGGTTATGAATTGTAATCATTCCTTAAAAAATGTCATTCAAATTTTCATTTTTTTATTTATACATATAATCATTTATCTTTTCTCAACTCTATTTATTTTCAAATATATTAGTTTTATTAATATATCAAAGCAATTTTCACTAACAATGGAAGTTTGGTATGGATAGTAAAACAATGGAAAGGCCGAGTGGTAGGTTTGAGTTAATGAAGTTTTAAAAAGTTCTACACAAAAAGAGGTGATATACTTAATGATGATGTGGTTTTTTTGTTTTTCATCTTACGCAAAAAATATCTCAATATGGAAAATTGAATAACAGTCTAATGTTTCAAACGTTGTATTTTTTTTATTTTTTATTTTTTTTGTGATTCCGTTGTATTTTTTATGTTAGACAAGTTCACTTCCCACCAACTGTATGTAAAGGGAGAAGGAGAAAGTTTACCTATATTTAAGTGGAGTTCACGGGAATTGATTATTTATAATAATAAATTTATGTACAACATATAATTATCATGAAAAAACAAAGAGTTGAAAAAAATAAAAAGTTATAAAACTGGGAATTAGATCAAAATCCACCTTTTTGGTGGATTTAGGAGATTCCTAAATAATGGGGAATTAATCCATTCCTGCCAATTTAAAATCCGCCAACCAAACACCAATATTAAGAGTCATTCTATTCCCTCATTCCAATACCCATCAACCAAACACCCCCTAAATTTCAAAACTCTATGCGAATTATTTTTGGAATAGAATTAGTAGCTTTTTTAATAATAAAATGATAACAATGTCTGATGATTAAAAGTTAAAACATAACTTGCATAATTCCCTACACTCTTTCATAGTCACATCTCACACGTTCTCTAATAATATGATGAAACAGGCTATAGACGACCAAAACGTTCATCAAAGCGGATCGGCCCAATAATTTAGTAGAGAAATTAAAGGGCCCGGCTAATGCCTTCATATTCGTTTGAGTAGTGGGGGGGTTTCAGTATGATATGATGGTATTGTCACTACTTAGAGAGATTTAACCCCTCACTCCAGAAATAAGATAAAGGGGCAACTCTGTTCAACCCTTGTGTTGCACTTTTGGACGGTGTTACATGATATAGGAGTTTAGCATTGTTATGCCTGGAATTCAAATCAATCAAAACATGGTCGGGATCTAAAGAAAGGCAAAATATGACTTGGCTCTGTTGAAATTACTGGAGTAGATTGTGTAAGGGCAGTATGCCTTGCTTTCCTCTCGATCTGAATTGAGCTTGAACTGAATTAGAGCTTGAATTGCATATCAAACACATCAAGGAAAGAGCTCGCCACAGTGTTAGACAAATGACAGCGTGAGAAATATACTGGCGTGAATAATTGTGGCATTAAGCTCCAAAGTCCAAACAATGGCTGGATGAATGAAGCAACCGTGACAAATGACAGCGTTAATCCAAACAAAGGGGCCAACCTTCATTGGTAATTCTTCAATTTCTATACTAATTCTGGGAAGATGACTAATACTATTAGCCTTCAACAACAGTGCCCCGTTTGGCTCAATGATTCAGTTCATTTGGGTATATTATTGGGACCTGCAGATTCACTATTCAATAACCACTCTGTTCTGCATCTGTGATTTGTTTCTCAGAATCTGAGAATTTATTTGCAGATGAAAAAAGTGTCAGAAGGCAGAGGAGCCTCTAACAATGTTTCTCTAACTAAATATAGAAAAGTTGATAAAACTATGATCCCCATTCTGGTTATTGTTAATCTAATCGCCAAAAACTAGTTATCGGTTAGAGTAGCAAAATTTTGTAACACACAAGGTAATGTAATCAATCTAAGCACCGAACTGAAGTCACTAAACACATGCTGTGGAGAGAGGCTGGACCAACAAACATCTATGTGGGTACAATATAGATAGCTAGTGATAAGTTCTCAAATTGGCCTAACATTATACTCAATCATTGATCCATGTCTTTTGGCTTCATCTATTTCTTGGAGACTCTAACAATATGTTTACTAGCCTAGAGTTAACAACCCTACAATTCCTTCGGATCTCGCCCGGGCGTCCTGATTGCAGATCCCCCATTTTTATCATTCCTTCCACAAAGGCATCAAAAAACAGCTTTTGGTCATCCTTGAAAAGCATCACATATGGTCTAGTTTGCGGAAATGTATACAGCGTTTGATCCGAATTCAGAAACCCTCTTCCGCTAGCCAAGTCTTTGAAGTATTGGTTATCGAAAACTTCAGGGGTTGCGTCCAAATCTCCGGTCACATTTTGGTCCACATTGAGTGGACAAAGCTTGTCTAACTTTTCTCTAAACCTTGGTTCAATGGCAGGGTCTGGCCGCCCTGTTCCTGATTGGTTGTAAAGCCTAAACATTATCGAAAAACACCTTCCCTTGCCGATCGAATGAGAGCCCGAAAGGGCCACTAAATCTTTCACTGAGAGATTGAACTTGCTGAAAAGATCAATGAGGTAGCTTGCATTTGCTCTTGGACTTGGCATTATGTTGTCTGAATCTTCTATTCTTGCGGTCAAACTGTCAAGCCGGCCTAATTTTACTTCCCAGTTTGGCCCTCCTGTCTGTGTGACACAGAACACAGAAATCATATGAACCGTTTAATGTTGTTCAAGTCTTTATCATTGACTGAATTAAAGTCTAGATTCCACATCAAATAGCCAATTGCAACCATCCAATAATCTTATTATTGGTCCATATTCCATTGTCAAATCCAACAGTTCCTACTTTTGTTATCCAGAAAAAAAAAATAAAATCCTGAACAAAATCCAAAGATGCGTCTAGTGAAAAGAAGATATAAAGTTAGTTCATTTGGTGTGTTCTTTTTGGTGGGGCAGAATGAGCAATTTTGACTTTGATGGCTTTGATAAAACAGAATGCAATAGGAAAAAAAGGGCCATCTTTCTTACCAGAACAACTGCATCTCTAGCAGCCATGATTACAATATCAGCACAAGAAACAACTCCAGGGCAGACTGCTTCCAAGGCCGCCTTAGCTTCATCCAGGACCTCAAATGATCTCAATGAATTGATGTTCGATAAACCAAGTTTTTCTCCAATCATCTCCGGCGTGTCATCCAGCAACAAAGAAGCATCACACCCCTAAACAGATCAAATTTTTATTAAATTCCAAAAAAAAAATAAATAAATAAAAAATAAGAATCAGGAACCCAATACGAGGAAATTTCATAAAAATGGCATCTTTAGACTTTAGGCTTTACATTTACAAAGCAATCATGAAACTGTAACCGCATGACCGAGGCTGCGCTCCGGGGTTCTCTAGTCATGGCTTTCTTGATCACGTCCCGGACAACAAGTTCTGCATCCGGGCAGGATTGGGAGTAAAATCCGGGCCTGAGTTCTGTTCCCATGGCAGCATTAGTAGCCAAGTTGAGCAAGAACAAGAGTGAAAAGAGTAGTACAGAAAAGGTAGGAAACATTTTCAGGTGATTTGTTCAGTGCTCTGAGAGTGTAATTCCAATGGGTTTTCTTTTCTAAATTGGAAACAAGTCTTTCAAGTCTCCCCCTGCTGGTTTGTAGGGGGTCTCTCTGGGTCTCTATATAGACTGAGAATTGAACGGGGAAATTGAGGTTTGTTTTGTTTGAGGAATACAGCATTCAATGTGGTCATTAGTACTTTATTTGGGTGTAAATGGGAGAAATCCAAATTGCATGGGTGTCAGATTCTGATTTGGGGTTGGGAGGTTCATTTGTCTGGTGACATTATATGAGGCAAAACTAGGCCAATTGGCTTTTCTTGAGGGGATTTTGTGGGTTCTTATTTGTCAATAGTTTTGTGTTTGGAGTGGGGAGTAAATGGATTTTTCTGCAATTTGTTTCAGTCCATCTGTCATCTGTTTGTCTTTCTAATCTTTTAACCAACTGGGCCCACTTGAAGAAAAGGGTAAATAAAATGTGAGAGATGTGATTAATTTAAGCGCAACAGTCAAAGTCATGTCTTGTGTATTCATTTTCGAAGTTAGAAGTTTCTATCAAATATCAATTGTGAAAAATGCAATTTTTGCTCGCTTTAATCGTACTGTAATAACTAGGTTTGACAAATATGGACAACTTGTCTACTATGTACTTAGGTTTGATGACATTTAGTTTGAAGCCATGGATTGAAAAGTTCCACAAGGGTAAACCAGGCAGTTTAAAAGCATTTGGTAGGAGAGAATCACTCATTTGTTTGATCATTTTAGGTAAGTTGCAATTTCCGACCGTTTTATATTAACATGAAACGTTACAAAAAGCATTTATTTAAGAATTTTAATTTCACCTCACCTCAATATGATGATTTACCACCATCATTTCGGATTCTTGAGCTGGACAGTGAAAAATGAGATTATGGGTGGTTTGAAGGAAAACTGTTGAGAAAAAACAGTAACTCCACTTATCAACAGACAGCACAACACTATATAATCACATCTATAAATAATGGGATCAGAACATTGTAATTAGTGGTGCATTTTGATCTTGATGGGGACGTATGAGGTAAAATAATCATCAAACCTCAAAAATCGAGATCATAATAATCTCATTTTCGTTTTAATTTTAAATTCGACTATAATTTAATCTGGATCAGACCTTTTGATGTGTCTAGAACAAATGCATACTGTAATCACATCAATCTTCATCCCGATTCCTATTGCTTAGAATCGAGTTTCGTTCATAAATATTAGAAATTACATTGGAAATACAAAACATGCATTTTTGGTTGTGACTTTTGAGTTAGAATCATAAATAAAGGAAAAAAAAAAAAAGAAGGAAAACTTGGCTAAGAGACAGTAAAATTAGTCAAATTGATAAAAAGGGTATGACTGAAAAATAAATTTTTATTAAGGGCGTTAAATTACTCGTCATAAATAATATAATAATTAATAGAGTTATAATATGACATAGTTACCCTTTTCTTAATAATTCTTTCAATGAAAAAGAAGTTAAATCCTCTTCTATCTTCCTCAACATAGAACATTACATCAAAGTCTCAAGAAACACGTAGTACTGGTCTATGGTAGTTCAATAAATACTTGAAGTGATATAGTTCGCAAAATGTCCTAAAACTTTTGAAAGTTTATTTTAACTCCTCAATCTCCAGTTTTATTCTATCACCATCATATTGTCTTATTAATTTTGTGTACATCACATGATAAATGAGAGCACGACCTTTTTAAAGATGTCATTTTGGTTTGGAAACTCATCCATTACGATGGTGTGCGTCAAATCTGTGTTATGTACCAAAGAAACTGTGGTGGGATATGTGTGAAAGTCTTCCTTGTTCTTACTTACATAAGAACAAAAGTATAAATAATCCCGGTTTTGGTGTGTGTTTTTTGGATAAGAAAAGGAAGCTGTGTTTGAAAGTTTTTTTTCAAAAAAAAGAAAAAGGAACAAAGCTTCCCTTAATTAGAAGAAATAGTCAGGATAGTTATGTAAAAACAAAAGTGTTTTGATTGTATAATTTTTTATAAGTAATTTACGGCCCTTACTAAAAATTATTTTATTATGTTCATACCCTGTTTATTAATTTAACTATCTCCATTACCCTTCAACCAAATTTCCACCCCCAAAAAAAAGTTGATTGGACTACATGGAAATTATAACAAAAAAGGGAATCTAATTACCAAATCAAGAAAGAGCAAAAAGTAAAATACAAGTAACTTTATTTATTTATTAATTTTTTACTTGCAGACTCTAATGAGCACACTTTCTCTTCTTCTTTTTTAAAAAAATTTATTTGATTAGTACGACTTTGTTTGGTTAAGGAAAAACAAAAGGATGTTATGGGTCTTTTTGGTTGCTTTGCTAATAAGGACTAATAATGGCATAACAGTGCCAGAGTTTCTGCTTTTGAGAAATTTACTAGTATAGTTTTCAAGTAAACTAGTACAGAGTAGAGACCAAAAATGATTAAAAAAAAAAAACCAATGAACAATGTTTATAAATACTTTTTTTTTTTACTAATAAACAATTCTAATCTCTTTTACCTAGCTCCCATCTTTCAAAAGATCAACCTCCTATTTATTTTTAAGTCATTATTTTCTTTCTTAGGACAGCAATCACCCAATTAGATAATTCACTTAACATCAAGACATCAATCCTATTTCAGTCACTTCCGCATTCAAGAAAATTGTTGAGCTCAAAGCAAGTACTCCCTCCGTCCCATAATTATTATCCAGTTTGGATTCTCATTTTTAGTATAATTTGTACTAAAAATAAAATCTTAAACTGGACAATAATTTTGGGATAGAGGGAGTATAAGATTTGAAATATTGAAAATGGGCAAGAGGCTTACACTTAAGAAGTTTTCTCAGTAACAAGTAAAAAAAAAAAATTATTGATAATCTCTATACATATTAAAAAAAATTAAAAAAAAATGAGCCTTTTAGTGGATGATTGGGCTTGAAGCCCAAACAAAATGAGCATATAAATTATGGGGCCAAAATACTGGCTACTGAGTGGACTAAGACCGTTAAATTCAAAGCCCGGAAACTACTCAAACGGAAAACTGATCACATTAAAATACCCAACCGAACAAACAGCATAAACCCCTTCTCCCCTTTTTGTTGTTCTTCTTCTTCCCCAAAAAGCGCGCACTCACAGAAACCAGGAAGGAAGACAGAGTTTTTGCAGTTAAAGGGAAAAAATGGGTGGCAGAAATAGGTCCCGAACTCAGAGGAAGCACTTCAAGCAGAACAGGGACAACGTATGGAAACGCCCAAAACCTGATTCTGAACAGAACCAGCAAGATAACTACACTGCCACTGAGGAGAATGGTAACCCGAAGCAATCTTGGGAGCCTCTTGTCTTCCAAAATCCCGCCTTTGAAGAGTATTACAAGGTACTGATCGAATCCCAGGTTTTTAAATTTAGCACTGATAAAATTTTGAGCTTGTAAATGTTTTTGGATTTGGTTTTTCTGCTAGTTTTGAGTTTTGACAGGAGATGCTGTTTCCTGAATTTTTTTTTTTTTTGTTTTTTATTTACCGAAACTTGATATGTGTTTGAGTTTGACTGAATGAGATTTAAAGGATTAGGTTTTGAGGTGGTTTTGGTTTTGGTGAAATTGGATATTAGGAGCAAGGCATTGTGGCACCTGAGGAATGGGATACTTTTATCAACTGTTTGAGGAGTGCATTGCCTGCTGCTTTCAGGATTAACTCCAGGTACAAACTGTTTCTCTTAAAGGTCTCCGTAGTGCAATTTCTTATGTGGTTTTGGATAGCAGTGTTTAGTGGATGTTTTAGGTCCTGCATGTTCAATCATTTGATAAAATCTTAAGCAGCATACTAGTGTTGTAGTGTTGTCGGCAGCAGGGTTTAGCTAGAAGTTTGGAAGAGATTTGTGAAATATGGTTTCCAGGGGAGCCTAGGGTTAGTAACTTTGAAGACTAGTCTTGTTGTCGGAATTCTTAAGGTGTTGATTGAAGTATGCTGTCGTTGAGTGGAGCTACAAGTTCTGAATCTAGTTATCTTGTAGCCCCCGAGTTAATAAAATGCTAATAATATATTAGGATTGGTGATTAAACTTCCTTTTAAATTGATATTAATAAGCTGCCTGCAGTTTTTTTTTTTCCTTCCAGTCTATACAAGCCTCCTCAGTCTCGGTGAAGGTCTTAAATGTATTTCATTTGAGAGAATCCTTCATGTAAGTTCTTTGAAGGGTCTACAATTAGGCCCCAAAATAGTTCTAGATGTTTCTAAAAGAAAAAGGCTGACAATTGTTGTCAAAGCCGGTGGGAGAAAGTTTTCTTTATGTTACCATCCCATTGACCTTCTATAGGTTCATGCTCAGCGTTCTATGGCTGAGATGCTAGGTCGCACTTTTGCTTGATGCATGTCTAGTTGTTTCCTTTGTTTACTTGCTACTGCTTCTAGGTTTTTCCATGTCTGTACTTTGTATTAAAGGCCTTATGTTCTCTTGTACTAGACTCTGCCAAAATTAGTTGGAATAAGCATCAACCATGGCAATAAGTAAATTGTACCAAGTGCAGTGCGTAGCCTGACATTTTGCCCTTCAATCAAATACCTGTGCTTGCTACTTGTACGCTTAACTGTTAGGTAATAAACACATAAAGGTGTAATGGTTCGAGTATTGTATGCTTTGGCGTGCAAAATGGCACTGGATATGACATTATCAATAAAATTGTACCGGTTTAACTAGTTTATACTTTGGCTGTCCTAGTGTGTGAAATGGCCTGCATGCGTTGGGTGTGATGGCTGCATACTTACGTATATATAAGAGGCTGTTTTTATGACTTCACAGCTCCTATTTCAGCAGTTCTTTCCTTCTATCTGACATGTCTGTTAAATAAAAAGTGTTGGTGTCTCATGGAAAGCTTCACCTTTTTTTTTTGGAAGGCTTTTCCTGACATTTCTTTCGTATGCAGTACCCCTTTCTATAAGGATATTCGGATGCAGCTGGAGAGTGATTTTATGAAATCACTTCAGGCAGAGGTGATATACTTCATGAGCTTAAAGCTTGCAGGAATTGACTCGATAAAAGCAGCTATGAGTCTGATCATTGACTTAAACTCTGCATGAAATTTTCAGGGCTCTGATGGAAATGAGAGGGAGGCAATCAGACCATTGCCTTGGTATCCCAATAATCTTGCTTGGCACTCAGAGTTTTCAAGAAAGCAGCTCCGAAAGAACCAAACTCTTGAGAGGTAAGTCATGCATTGACACTTTACTGTTTCCTTGATTTTCTTAGAGTAGGCGCACCGATGCATAATTCTTGTTCAAATTTTCATTCACATAATTGATAGAAATTTAGTTTCACTCTTCTCCCAGTTGAAAGTATGTGCAAGAGTATTTTGTCATGCAGTTTTTAAGTAAACTTCTCTAGATTATCCATCGTACTAAGCTACTATAAGCGGGTCAATAATTCATAATAATATGAGCAGCTTCAAATATTGCAAGTTCTAGCATTCTAAATTTGCTCCGCTCACTGGGCAGAACCTATAATTTTAATTTTGACGTGTTGCTCTCAGCGCCTCATAATTTGCTATTAAAGAACTAGATGAACCCATGATTTCTCATATCTTTGTCTGAATCTGGACCTTGTTTGATGTGTCTGTTAGAATTGTTGCAAGGATGGCGGTTTCACGAGTACCTTAGGTTGCAGTTACCATTTTATTCATTCCTGTTTTTCAAATAAGTTATTTGGTGATTTTCTCACAAATATCATTAGAAGTTCTGTCTAAGATCATTTCATGTGTTGTTGTCCCAACCAATTTTATGTTCATCATTTTGCTGATACAGTCTTTTGATTCGCAATGATGCTTAACTTGCATATTATAGGTTGCAAGTAATGGAAGTTTTGTAATAAACTCATTAGTTGTATGAGCTGACTTTTCATTTTTTTTTTCTTTTAAATGTAAATTCATTTCTTTTTGTGAAGCTAGTTTCAGCCCATTGATATTTCCATGCTTGTTACGAAACCTTTAGGTTCCATGGGTTCTTAAAGCTGCAGAATGAAATTGGAAACATTACAAGGCAAGAAGCAGTGAGCATGGTGAGTTATGTTGATCACAACTATGGGAGCATTATCTTAGTTCAGTTGTTAGAAACGGAATTACATATACATCTTTCTTTTTACCCTAGCATTGTGATTAAGTTTGGATTGATTTTGTCATAGGTTCCTCCGCTATTTCTGGATGTGCGCCCAGACCATTTTGTTCTTGATAGTAAGCTACTTATTCTTAACTTTTTGAGTTATTAAGTAGTTGCCTTTCGTACTTGTAAACGTTAAATAGATTCAAGTCTTCATTAGCAAGAAATGGACATTGAATTCTTGGTACGAAGGATTGTTGATTGACCTTTAACTTGTGATACATAGGATCTTCGATTAATGTCTTGATGCAGATATTCAGGGATAAATTTGTGTTGTGTAACATTAACACTATTCCTTTTTCCTGGTAATTAATACCTTTCCTTCCTCTATATGTAGTGTGTGCCGCTCCAGGGTCAAAAACATTTCAGTTACTTGAGATGATTCATCAGCTAACAGAATCGTCATCTTTACCAGCCGGAATGGTATCTCTCTCTCTCTCTCTCTCTCTCTCTCTCTCTCATTTGGTAAAGGAGTTGGTAAAGGAGTTGCCACTTCTCTGGTTGCATGCATGTCTGTAACCTTTCTCTCACATCTTTGTTCTTGTATGTGTTATGCTGTAGGTGGTGGCCAATGATGTGGACATCCAAAGATGCAATCTTCTTATCCACCAGACAAAGAGAATGTGCACCGCTAACTTGATAGTCACAACTCATGAAGCTCAACATTTCCCAGGCTGTCAGAGCAGGAGTATAAATGCTTCTGATGCAGGAAACGTGAAGAAACCTGATATCAGTCAACTTTTATTTGATCGTGTCTTGTGCGATGTTCCTTGTAGCGGTGATGGTACTCTACGCAAGGCCCCTGATATATGGAGGAAATGGTAGGGTTTATGCTGTGTGATTCAGGTTCTTTTGGTGTACTTATCTTGAATTTGGAACCCATTAATTGATTGATTATCTTTATTTCCTCTTTTTTTTAATTTTTTTTTTCACCCCAGGAATCCTGGTATGGGCAACGGTCTCCATGGTTTACAGATCCAAATTGCAATGCGAGGTGCATTTCTTCTTTTAATCTCTATCTAGGTTCCTGTTGTCCGTAATGTGAAAATTACAATTGGGAAGCTCTATGCCTTCATGTCTGTGGCTGGAATATAATTGGAAAATTTAACTGAAATTTAGTTTAGTGGAAAAGTTTGCAATTAGACATGAAGAGCATATTGGAACGTTGCTAGTTCTGGGTTGCCTACCTGTATTCTTTTGGCTCTTGCCAAACTGAATCATTTGGTTTGACATATGGTATTTTGTCAGTGGGATAGGTCAAATTTAAGGGCTGAAAAGTTGAAATTTAATGTCAAATTTGGTTTGACATATGATGATAAGTATGTTTTTCTATCAAATTTTCCAATCTATGATTTAATTTGTCGTATATGTGATCAAAAATTTAATAGAGCCTATTGTCATGCAAGGCTATGCACTGCAGCTCTTAATTGTGAGCCCAGTGTTAATAAATTGAAAGTTGCTAAGTGATTATTTGTCTCATATTGCTTGTCTAGGTATATGTGAGTTTCTTCCTTGTAGAATGTCATAGTTTGGTTCCAGAAATTCTGTTGGTGATGTTGATTCATAATCCTTTGTTTCACATTTTCATTTTGAATATTTCAGGTTTAGCTTTACTTAAGGTTGGTGGGAGGATGGTTTATTCCACATGTTCAATGAATCCAATTGAAAATGAAGCTGTGGTTGCTGAGGTAAGATTGTTATTTACCATCGAACTTGAGAAGCCCCTTTTCCAGTGGGAAAGACTCGATTCTCCCTTGAAGATGTCATACACAATGGCTAAGTCAAACTCTTAAGGATTGGCTGCTTCTCGATGTGGGTATAACTTTTGAAGTTTACTAACCTTTATCTCATTTCTATGTCTTGTGTAGATTTTGCGTAGATGTAAAGGAGCAGTTGAACTTGTTGATGTCTCAACTGAGCTTCCAATGCTTGTTCGCAGGCCAGGGTTGAAAAAATGGAAGGTTTGTGTACTTTCAGATTTACTGCTTTTTCATGGAGTTCTGCAGTATTTATCAATTTCTCTCTAGATTTTTTTTTTTTTTTTTTGGGGGAAGGAGGGAAGGCGAAAGGTACTTTTAAATATACCACAGATAAGGCCTAGTTTCTGCACCAAGAATGACATTGTTTTTCCTTATTTGAGGATGTGTTTGCTGATCGTGGACTATCTATGAACCTTGAACTTTTTTGTGGTTGCTATGGGTGTAGAGCTTGATGGTAAAACTGACTTGGTGAGCCTGACAAGTGACAACTATATTTAGCCCACCAAACATATTACGAAACAAAATCATTGTTTATCATGTCATATTTCCACTTTAAACTCTGCTGCACTTCTTCTGTTCGTGGAAGTTGGTTGCATTTTTTAATATCTTTTGCAGACAACTTCTAGAGAGAGGTTATTGTTGTTCAATTATTCAATTGGGGGGTGTCATACATATTTATATACTTTCTAATAAATTTATTTTAGATTTCCAGCTCCAATTTCCTTAATTTTATTTTATGCTTTGGATCTTTTCATTACAATAAAAAATATTTGTTCACAGAGGTATTTGGTCTACTTTTGCAGGTTCGGGACAAAGGGTCATGGTTTAGTTCTTACAAAGACGTCCCTGAGAATCGCAGGGCTGCATTTGTTCCTTGCATGTTCCCTTCTGGGAGAACCTTTCAGGAAACTTCTGAGCAGGATCACAGCGTTGACACTAGTCCTGAAAATTATGAAAATGGGATTCAGTCGGAGGATGATCATGACGAGGAAGTTTCAACTCTGCCTTTGGACCGTTGCATGAGGATAGTGCCTCATGATCAGAACACTGGAGCCTTCTTTATCGCTGTGCTTCATAAGCATTCTGCTTTGCCAGGTAACTATCATTATTTTTCTTTTTCAACACTTTCAAGTCTGGAGCAGTTTAGTTCATATTGGACTGGAGTTATTAGCCATCTTTGAATTGATGCTAGTGTAGCTGAAGAGTATACTTGTTAAAATCTTTATTTCTTCAAGATTAAATGCTTCTTTTGGTGTGTTTCACGGGTCATAGCATTCTTTTACTATTGTTTTACACAGCTGTTGAAAGTAAATCCACCAAGCGCACGCAACAGTCCAGCTCCATGCAAGTCCAGAAGGAAACAGGGGTTGCAATAGAGGATAAAACTATTGCTGACATAGATGTGGATGCCGTCATAGATGATCAGGTTTCTGGAGCTGACATTTCAGTTCCTGCTGCACCTTCTGGCGGCAGTTTACAGGATGGCGATGCAGCTGAAGCTAGTTTAGATTCTGACCCTAGTGTAGCATCTGGAAAGAATGCAGCCGAGGGTATGAATCCATCTAACACAAATAAATCTACTCCTGAAACTGTTGGAGAAAAGAGGAAGCTACCAACTCAAGGCAGGTGGGTTGGGCTTGACCCTGTCCTCTTTTATAAAGAGGAAACAGTTATATCGAGGATAAAAGAATTTTATGGCATTAAGGATTCCTTTCCCTTCCTTGGTCATCTGGTTACTAGAAACAGTGACACAAGTCATGTGAAGAGAATCTACTATGTGTCTAATGCAGTAAAAGAAGTCCTTGGACTAAATTTTCTTGCTGGTCAGCAGCTAAAAATAGCTTCTGTGGGGCTCAAGATGTTTGTAAGTTCTATCCGCTTTTGTGAATGTTCATTGTCGATAGTGTTTCTGTTGTATGTTTTCCATATGAGATGCCCTTGAGTAATCTGTCAATATAATTACATTTATATTTTCAATTTCTTCAGGAAAGGCAAACATCAAAAGAAGGCACATCCTCACCTTGTTCATTCAGGATATCATCAGAAGGGCTGCCCTTGATTCTCCCTTACATAACAAAACAGATTCTATATGCATCCCCTGTAGACTTCAACCATCTTCTGCAGTATAAAAGTATAAAATTTGCCGATTTTACTGACGCTGAATTCAGAAACAAGGCATCAGAACTATCTTTGGGCTGCTGCATTGTGGTTTTGAACAAAGGTAAACTTTTAGCATGCATGATGTTTCTGCAGATAATTTTTGAGTGCTTGTCATATTTTCTCCACTTGATGCAGAAAATCAGGCACCGCCAGATCATCACCAAGTGGATTCAGATGCAGTTGCCATCGGCTGCTGGAGGGGTAAAAATAGTGTATCTGTTATGGTAACTGCTATTGACTGCCAGGAAATGTTAGAAAGACTCTCAATCAACTCAGCGAAAGAAAGCTCTCCTTTGCTGTCTGTTGAGGCAGTTGATGAAGCATTGGAGACTCTGACTAACTACACTGAAACTGAAGAAGCAACTCCAATGGTGTAACACCTAGTCAGCTATCAATTTTGTTAGGAATGTGATACAAATTTGTTGTATGGTTAAGATATACTACATTACTTTCCACCACCACCTGCAGTTTTTCTGTGTTAAACAGAGCATTCTTATACCCGTTGGTATTGTGATCAACAGATAGAATTCATACATCGGTATATCAATTTTTGTTTTAAAAAAATTATTATCTGAGCTTGTACCAATTACCATATGCTAGACATTCTCGTGGCCCTAGAGTTGAAATTTATTAATTAAATGTGTTCGTTTCCTTTTTCTCATAGTTTTTTAAAATTAATTTATTGATAACTGTCTCATCCAGCAATACGATTCACACATTCGTATAATTGGGCAAAATCGGAGGCAATATTTGCTTCAAATCGGTGAGACAGCCAAGTTTGTTGGATGGACATCAATTTTATAAAACATTTATCATTTTTACTTCTCCATTCTATTCTAATTGTCCATTGTAAGTTACATGGAGAAAGTTAAATTTTAACCCTTTTAGAATTGAATAGGATTATCTTAGCTCCACCGGGCATGGTCAACTTCACTCCGTTACAGTTAACTTATAAACTAACCAATGAATTGTTTTCAATTGTTTACACCCCCTCATAGAAATGAAACTCCAATAGTTGAATCACTGAAATTCAATATCAATTTACGCACATCCCATAAAACAGACGGTAAAACCATAAAGAATTGGTTCAATTGACACCTATAGATCGAATGATAATAAGTGCCTATAGTAATGCAACCTTCTCCACCTCAAAATCGCCAAAAAAAGAAAAACTCATTTCCCTCCAAAGTAAAACTATGAGAACAAGATTTACAACCATACAAATAGACCTCCCCAAAGCCACTAAAGTTTCAACCAAAAGAACCACCGAATCATCAGGACGAGCAGCATGCTTTCTTCTCTGGAATTACTTGTGCAGGGCCAGGAACAATGATCTTTTTCCCAGCTAATGATGCAGGGTTACCATTAGCTTGATCTTCATTTGCAGCAAGATTTTTCCGACTGACAATATTGAAGATTTCAGTCAATACAGTCGTGAAAGCTGTCTCCACATTTGTTGCTTCAAGGGCAGAGGTCTCCAAGAAGAACAGTCCTTCCTTCTGGGCGAATTCTTTGGCATCCTCAGTAGGAACCGCTCGTTGGTCTTCAAGGTCGATCTTGTTTCCAATCAACATAATGACAATGTTCTTGTCAGCATGAGCACGCAATTCTTCCAGCCAGCGAGGTATGTGATCAAATGTCTGGCGCTTTGTTATATCATAAACCAACATTGCCCCAACAGCTCCCCTATAGTATGCACTCGTGACAGCTCTGTACCTGTTGATGATGCCAGTAGCAGAAAAAGTATCTTGATCAAAATCAATGCCAGAAGCAGAAAAAGTAACTTGATCAAAATCAATGTCATGAATTCATTAGAGACACCAATAAACAAGATAAATCATTCCCATAGTAACGGTCAGCTCTTTCAGCTTCAGCGAGATTTTTCTTTCAAGGTAAAGTCAAATACGGAAACCATGTTGGACAATGTCCAGAATAGTGCCTGAACTAAAAGAGGAAATCTAAATCTGTAGTGCCTCCGAATACAGGTTTTCTTTCAGCTAAACTATTCAATAAAGTAGCTTCTGGCAGTAAAAAGAATACTATGTTTTAGAGCCAAGGGTTTACTTGGAAATCACAATCTGCTGTTAAACTAAAAGCAATTCAGCCTTAGAAGTTTGATGAGGCAATTATGATAAAGTTCTGTCTGCAAGAAGAATTGAATAGGAATGAAAGAGAAGGTACGGTTAAACTCCTCATAGAGATTGCCATGAAATCAGTGACAGAGTCGTCCTAGTTTCAAGGAAAAAGAAAATCAAAACAGCATAAACTTGACATGTTTATGTCTTTCGCTCAAGAGAATCTTTGCGTTAAGGCTCTCCTGGCAAAACAAAATGATTGCGTACCAAATCTAGAAAAACACTATTAAATTTATAAAATTGACGTAAGGCAAGAAATTAAAGCAGCAATTTCGGCGCTCCATTTGGTGGTGATAAATTGATACAGAATGACAACAAAACAACAGCTTTCTTAAAGTACAGAGGAAGTTTGATCCTAAACACATGTAAATTACCATCGTGAACACACAAACACAGAAAGTCGCCCTCATCGCCGTATCTATTTCCATCTCTTAAGGTAAATTTTTCTGATGTAGACAGAATTAAGAATGAAAAGTTGTTTAGTATCTTTTCAGAGGAAAAAAGTGAATGTTTGTTGGAATGGCTATACCAAATTTAATGCTACCCTAACTAATGGAGCTCACATGAAAACTCTCCAGAATTCTTTCATCCAAGCCTCAGGAGTAACATATCCTACATTCCTACTCAATACAGTGTCCCTCACATAACCATCATGTATCAATATGGGTAACCTAAACATTATACTTAACTTAATAGTAGGATCTCCAGATCGAGTTTTTCCTATTGAACACAGTAACATCAACAGGGACAGATCGTACCAAATTGGACCATCATCTCAAGTCATTCTCCACAACTGAAACCAACCCAGAAAACAAAATTACAAAGAAAAACAACACCCATTACAAATACATCGCCATTAGCTCAATCGAACAAAGAGAAACAAAACCCAACGAGCTTCAATACCGAAGCACAAACCATATCAACGAAGCCAACAAAACACGCATGCATGACCATAGCCAAAACCCAAACACATCAGTAATCCCCATGACTTCATAAAACAGAGAAAACTTCAACTAAGTGCAAGAAAGATGAACTAATATCACGAACGAATCGATTACCTTTCTTGGCCAGCAGTGTCCCAGATCTGGGCTTTAACGGACTTGTGCTGAATAACAAGCGTTCGAGTCTGGAACTCAACACCAATGGTGGCCTTGGAATCCAAACTGAATTCATTCCTAGCAAACCGAGCAAGAATTTGAGACTTACCCACAGCTGAATCTCCTATTAGGACCACTTTGAACACATAGTCCACTTTCTGGCTTGCATCACCATATCCGCCTCCACTCGCCATCACAAAAAAGCGAAAAAAAAAAAGGAAAAAAGAGCTGGGATTTTGTGGGTTTTGCTTGCAGAGTTAAAAAGAAACAGAAAAACAGTGAACAAAAGGAGAGATTTTGTGGGAGAAAATTGGTGGGAGGAGGAGACAGCGGAAGAAACTGAGAAGAACAATAGATCTCCGAGGATGATAGTCCTAATAGGGTCTTCTTTATATTGTTTGATTATGTGTTACAGTTGTAAAACTAATACTACTAAGTACTAATCTCAAGAATAATTAATATAATGTTGAATTACTCATTTTGACTGTCCCGTTTTACAATAATCTTTGTAGATTTCCAATGAGGATGTATGTTTTCGTTTTCCACCAAAAAAAAAAATAAAATAAAATAAGTTTTTCCATTTTACATATGCAACTTGAGATTTGAGAATGGAAAATAGAGGGTTTTTCTCTTAGATTTAAAATGATTCTGCAATTGTTCCACCATAAGATATGCTTGATATAAAAAACTCGGAAGTTATATGAATTTTCATGAAAATATATTTCATATACTACTCGGCTAGACATTTTTATTTTAGTACGTATTCCTCTTCACATTATAATTAATGAGTTGTGATATGTACAAGGAAAAAATAATAAGAAAAATTTATAAAGAATGATGTACATCAAACATCTAAACTAGACCCTAACATTAAATGCTTACACTCATCATTATTCATAATTAACGATGTTCTTGAAACTTACATTTTCACTTCAATAAATGTGTTGGGATTACGAAATCTAAATTGATTCAAGCTCAAGGTGTGTGCTTAGAAGTTGAAATAATTAATCAAAATATGTTTATATAACTACATATATACTCTATTCTAAAATGATGGCCTGATTTTATTTTATTTTTAGTATAATTTGTTGTAAAAATAAAATATAAAATTAAAATTTATTATTATGATAAAATAATTTTGGAGCAAACAGATATTTAATATTTCGTCTTTTTTTTCCCTTTTTTTCCCCTTTTTAATCTCCATGTTGCTCAAATTTTAATGATTTAGTGAGAAATTTTATTATTATTTTTTTTTTAAGTGGTACTTGTTGTATTAAGAAGTACTTATAACATTGCATTCTAGCATATGTTAAAATTTTATTAGTGAAAAACTTAGACCACAAGTTTTATTCTAGTAGTTTCTTTTGGCGAGGTGGTTATCATTTTGATGACCAAAAGTCAACAAATCTAAAATTGGGATAATTAATTTTAGAATAGTGATATGTACAAGGAAAAAATGACAAGGAAAAATGACAAGGAATGATGTGTCAAGATCTTAATTATGTCCTAAGCTTAAATGCATAAATCCTGTTTAGAAAATTTTATTAATAGATGGGTGAGATCATTTCTTTATTATTTTTGCTCGTTATTTTTTCTTTGTACCAATCATTACTCTTAATTTTGTGACTAGCATAATTAAATTTGTGCCATTTGCCTCCAAACACCCCCCTTTTTCCTTTTTGATTACTCCATATGGCTCAAATTTAGTGAAAAATTAGATCGCAAGTTTTATAGTAGTACTAGTTTCTTTTGTCAAACTTTTCAGTGATTATCATTTTGATGATTAGTTTGTTGATTTTTTATATATATATATTTTAATTTTTTACTGGATTCATAAGCAACAATGGGTGTTATTTTAACTGTCTCGAGTTAAAAAGATTTTCACTTTTCAGTCTTCAAGGTTGAGTGCATCGAAGAAAAGGACAGTAAAAAATCTGGAGTAAAAAATCAATTGCAGTAGATGAATAAAATAGAGAAGGAGCAAGGTAGAGGAATTAAAAAAACTTTTTAAAATACAAAAAGGTGACAGGATGTTTTTTGTGGTGCATTTTTGTCGGCCAATCTTTCTTTAATGATTTAATAATATTAGTTCATCGTCGACCGAAGCCGTTGCCTGACATTTTAAACATTTTTTTTCCAGCCATAATTCGGTCGGCTTTCTCCTGATTCTGTATGTGCTTTTGCCGGATTTCTCCCCAACGCAGATAAACAAAATTTTCCCAAAACACGAACCAAAACAAACGTATAAATTGAACTATTATAATTTTTTGTCTTTTAAAACAAAAACTCATGTTAATGCTGTTACAGGAGTATGATGTATGAGGACAAATGCGACAGAGATTTTTTTTAATCAGAGGTAAGTCTTAAGAGGTTGCATTGCATGTGCCCTTTCATTGAGTAACAAACACAACAAAATTTGATAAGCATTTTCATTGAAAAAGACTAACCCATATGCATTTAACTCACCTTTCCGAGTAGTAATTTATTATCTATTATATACAGTATATATATAAGGAATTTTGATGAATGAACATGTGTGGGTTCCTTAGGATGTTAATGCAGTTCAATGTAAAATTTAAAAGGTAAAAATGGTTAATATTTTATTTTTATTATTTATCTTTAACTTAACTATTTTATTTTTACTATTTATCTTTAAATTTAATTACATATTACTAATTTACTTCATTTTATTAATATTAAAGAAAATATGACCAATTACTTCTACTAAATTTTTCGCCGATCACCAATAATTTTTTGTCGATGACTTTCCATGATTTCGGAAACCGTTATATCTAGACGATTAACATGGGACTATTCTTGATCCGAGGCACGCCAGTAGCGGTGGCAATAGAATTGTCGGACGGAAGCGGAGACAGATTCGGCCAGAACTTGCGATAATTCTTTTCGAGTTGTTTGACTTTTTCACATCTGCTTGGCGAATTAAATTTTTTTTGATAACGTGATATTTTCATTAATCTCAAAATCAAAAGAGATTATTTTAAAAGTAAATTATAACAACAATTTGATTGGGACAAGATATTTTGTGGGAAAGAGATCAATTGACGCCAAACTCCATGAAATTCTTAATTTTTGTGTAAATCTAAAACTCAAATATTAAATATAAAAAAGATTTAGTTAATCACTCATTAATATTCCCCTGATAAGGATAATTAAAGAATAATAAGATATATAGATTATCTTCAATTTCTTTTTCAAACACACTTCTTTAGGTTTTATATCTACAGTATCGACGGTAGGCAATGCGTAAGATACATCCCAATATTGATAATGGAATCCCAATTGGACTTTTGAGCCTCTTAACTTTAAAATTAGGGTCACCATTGGTAAAGTAGTGCTGAATGAAGTGTCGGGCTATTACAACTATGAAAAACACATCCCGAAGGAGGTGGTGGTCTTCGATTGAAACCCTACATCATCGCCGCCGATATCTACCTTCCATCGGTTGAATCTTCATTGGGATTCACAACCCCACTTCCCAAATTCGATTGGGATTTCGAATGTAGTACTCCTTCCGTCCCATAATTATTGTCCACTTTACCCAAAAAATTTTGTCCCAAAATTATTGTCCAATTTGACTTTTTATGGATCAAGTTACACATATGTGCTTAGTAAAACATGTTATCCATAAAATCTTAGTGGTTAAACAATTACTTATGTAGGGGTATATTCGGTTGTTTAAAGTAAAATATAGTTAAGTTTGACCAAAAATAAAATCTTTTATTTTAGTAAAACTGGACAATAATTATGGGACGGAGGGAGTATCAGATTAGGTCGCCATCATTTTTAGTAAGACTTCACTACCTTCCCTTGTTGCATTAAATATTATTAATTAAGGATGATAGTTTATTTTGTACTTCTAAGAATTCAGGAGCAAAATGCAGTTACAACATCATGTCCAGAAGATACAGCCTTGCAAGATTGAATGTACCTATTTTTTTACTCCCTCCGTCCCATAATTATTATCCAGTTTATATTTTTATTTCTAGTTCAAATTGTATTAAAAATAAAATCTTAAACTGAACAATAATTTTGGATTAAAGGGAGTATAAGTTTTTAAATTATTAGGTAACTTTGTATATTTTGTATAGCTACAGGGACCTCTTATGTAAATATCTAGATTTAGGGTGTAAAAAAGTCAGACAGCTATCAGACATATATCTCTATCTTTAATAATATATTAAAGAGGAGTTTTCAATTGGACAAATGGCACAATAAATATGCTAATCCATGTGGCGTAAAATTAGATATCCAAATTCACATGTCGAGCAACCACATCAGTCTATTATTTAATGGTAATTTTTAATGTAAAATTATAAATTTATAGATAAAACTAAATTAACTGGGAGATTTCTCAGAACTCTAATAGATAATATATTTTTTACCAACCATATCAATCACCAATTACCTAATTACCACAAGAAAAGAAAATAATTTCTGCATCCCTCCCAATTCATCCATTATGTTACGTGGAGTAAAAATAAAATTATGGGAAAAATGATCCCGTGGCCAAACAAATCCAAAAATAATATAGTTTAAAACTAATGATAAATATTTTCCTCTATATAAGTACTTTCCTTTACGTAATATAATTTAAAGGTGACCAAAAAAATTTTCAAACTAATAATCCCAAAGATAGCCAACTAAAAAAAATTTAATAAACACCAATTTGATGTAAAATAAAATATTGACGGTTAAGATGAGAAAAATCAATTCACCAATCAATATTAATTTTGATAGTCATCTGTTAATTTTCAAGAAAATACTATTTAAAGAGTGGTCACCAAATTTAGGAAAATAGTAAGGACTATATTATTGGAAAAATATATGAACAAAATTCTAAAGAAAGGTTGTAAAAGATATACAAAGAAATATAGTGAAAAATTTTCATGTTAAAGTGAGTGTTTAAAAGATATAGGACACGGGTAAAAACATTCAGAGAGATTATTATAAAAAATTAAGAGAATACGTTTAAAAAATTTTAAATCACAAATCAATAAAATGCAAAAAGGTGAACAATATGTTAAATTGGATGATTTTAAACATTGAAAAGTATTCCAAATGTACTTAAAAAAACAAAACACGTGACATTCTAAATTACCCAATTACAATTTATATCATTAATATAATTTTTTTTAACATATATTGCTCCGTTGGAAATTTTATATAATCGTTAAATTATTAACCTCATATATATTTTGAATAACCCACACAACGTGTGGGGTAAACACTATTATATATTAGAAGAGAGTTTTCAATCGGACACATGGAGTGAAATTAGATATATTAATCCACATGGCAAAAAATTAGATTACCAAGCCCACATATCGCACTACATCAATCTATCATTTAATGGTAATTTTTTATAATGTAAATCCATAAAATCAATAAATAACTAATTTACCTGATATATAAAAAAAAAAGAATTCAAGATTACTATTTTTTGTACCTTCAACGTGCCGGCTATTAAGAAATAAGTATCACATAAGAAAAAAGGGGAAAACAATTAGTACCAGTTAGGTTTATTCCTTCCCCGATAAACCACCACATTATAAACTTATACTATTATATTTTGTGATGATTAGGTTTTTTAGTAACGATTAGAGGATAAGGTTTAGGATTTGATTTATTGATTATTTGTTTTTGCTTTCGTTTAGTCCACGTGTTGATTTTAAAATTGAACATGATAAAAAATAAGAAATAAGGATCAAATAAGAAAAAAAAAAGGAAAAACAGACTTGCAAAAAAATACAAAAAATTAATTAGATAATTCATTATATTTTTTTCATATCATATAATTATAGAAAAATTTAAATTTAAAATAATAAAATAAAATGTAGACATCAATATGCATAAAGTTTTCCAAAATGATATTAAAAAAAAACAGAATAAAGGTCTTTGTGTTAGACAAATAGTATAAGAAAAGCATATTAAGAAATTGAATTTCATGGAAAAAAATTATATAGAGAATAAAAAAAAGTATGAAAAAAGAAACCGTCATAATAACAAATAATGAAATAATAATTACAAATTATTCAAGAAATGAAGCTTTAAGGATAGATGATCAATTTTAGAAAAAAAAAGGTGAAGACTATGCCACACAAAAAATAAAAATAAAATAAACATTAAATTTTGTTGCAATCACATCACTCCATTATTTAATCAGACACATATCGTAAAATTAGATAGGCTAATCCACATGATAAAAAATTAGATAGCCAAGTCCACATGTAGCAACCACATTACTCTATCATTTAATGGTAATTTTTTATTTGTAAATCAATAAAATCTATAAATAATCAATTTACCCGATTTAAATTATTAAAATCCATAAATCCTTTAACTTTTTTGTCATTAAAGGAAATAATAAGATAATTTTTTCCTAAAGTAACTTTATTTTTCAATTTATTTACATAGCTAACATAAATTAAAATCAAAATCCTAAACTAAAATTTCATTTAATGAAAAATAAAGTTAAACCGAAACTAAAAAAAAATTATTATACAATTACAAAAACTTGTCAAATCGAAATAAAAAACTGCACGCACACCATTCAAAACAACTGCTACCAATGGAAGGGAAAACTTTATTCAACTACTTAACAACACTTATAACCGACGGTAATTACATAAATACGTATTAATCTGCAAAATAAATTTAAAAAGCCAAAAAAGTCGACAGTAAAGAAATAAAAGCCTAGGAATTGAGTCCTAAATAGTTATCAAATTTATATATATATCAATTGGCAATTGCGATAATGAAACTGAATATACGAAGAGAAAACAAGCCTAAATTAACAGAGATAAAAATATGAGTACCTGAAATTTTATTCAACTGTTAAGCTGAATCGTGGGAAGGAAACCTCAAAGCCCAAAGTAGAAGATGTGCATCGGGTTGTAACTGTAAGTTACATTGACACGGGTAAAAAAATTTTTGTTAGAGGAGAGTTTAAAAGATATGATACATATAGATATATTTAGAGAGATCATTATGAAAAATTAAGTAAAAATATTTTTAATAAAAAATATAAATTATAAATCAACAAAGCGAAAAATATAGACAGCAAGTTACATTTGATGTTTTTAAATATTAAAAATTATTCCAAGTGTACTTAAAATAACAAAATACATTAACATTAAAAATTACATAGTTGCAATTTATATCATTAATATTAATATCACTCCGTCGAAAATATCATATAATCCTTAAACCATTAAATTTATATATATGTTAAACAACCCGCACAACGTGTGGGGTAAACACTAGTATCCTGTAATTAAGTTATTTGAACGGTAAGGCATGATGAATAGAACTTAATTCCAGAAACTAAGTCCAATTCTCAAACCTTAAACACTTGTTTCTGGATCAATAGACTAGTTGCTGCTCCAATTTTCTTCGATTTTAAGATGTTACCTGACCATGATTAGATCTTACTCTATGCCAAAAAAATTTACCGGAGATCGAGACAGTTGAATTCTTGATTTTCTGGATTAAAAATTGAAACCTCTAACCATCATAGGAGCAGTAGCCCTGCCATAGACCCTTTTCAGTTCTTTCACATTGGGCTTACGTGAATGGTAATTATGTCATTGTTATCTTGATTTTGGGACAACAAAAGCTCTTCTTTCATGATCTATTTCTTCTTTTGGAATCGATCATGATCTTAGTGAAATGCTTTATTCCTAAGCTAAATGGACTCAGTACTGGTGTCGGACATACTCTAATAATATAAAAATCAAGCCCATTAGCCAAATAATTGTTTCTTTTTTTTTTTCTCTAGAATTGGGCTTGCTTATATAAAAAGGCCCAGTACTACTTTAACAAAATGACCCCATTCTTATTCGGTCTTATAGTCTTTCTTCCCCAATCCCGGCCAGCAGGAAACAACTCTTTCCGCCACTGACTCCAGCATAACCAAGACTCCAACTTTATTCTTCTTCGTCTTCATCTCTATTCTTCTCCCCTTCCCCTTTGATTTTTTTTTTTTTTTCCTTCAAATCCGTCCAATTTAGTCCACGGATCTTGAATTTGGTCGAGGAGTCCGGTACGTATTCCTTGTCGTCACCCGTGTCCGACTGTGTCGTGTCGGATATTAGATGATAGCTTCCTTTTCCTGGTTTGAAGTAGTAATTTTCTATCATATTTTTTGTAGGTTCAATTCTTGTCAGAGTAGACGAGGATGGGTGACACACTATTCCAAGACATATTTGTTGTTCAAGCATTGGACCCTGAAGGAAAGAAGTTTGATAGGGGTATTAATTTTATCTCACACTTCCATAATTTAACCAAAGTTTGAAAATTTATGTGTTCAGTATTCTTTTTTGCACAAACATGATTAAACCGAGATAATAGGTTGTTTTCAGTATACATTTATGTTGAAAGAAGCTTACTCAACACTTTGTTAGATGGTTGTAGATAAGACATGCTGCTGTAATTTATCACTGACTCCTTTGCTGCAGATTGCTGCTTAGTTGCATTATAGTAGGGTTTCAAGTGTTGAACCCATTCATAGATGGATAACAATGATGCTGCTATTTTCAAATCGTTATTACTAATATGCTAATATCTATGTTTTGTATCTTTTGATCTGTAATTTGGCTCATTTACTGTAATTGAACTTGCTTTTTCTTTCTTACAAGAAAATGTGATAACGATTCCCTGGACCATTCAGTAGAATACCGTGTTCCTGATTTAGTAAATGGTATTGTTGAAGTATGTTTGCCACAGATGACTTGATATCCTGTTCTGCTTTCGTGACCTTTTTGTTGTTGATATCACCTGGAGATTGAATGGGTTACCCCCCCAAAATAAAGTAGTTACTGAGAACTTTATTGCTGCTATCTTAATGTCGAGGAGTTTAACTCATTTGACCCTTGGCACGTTCTAAGTAACTGAAGATATGGAGTATCATGGAACTGTCTGTTTGTTGGAGTGACTCTTTATTATGTTCCTGCAGTGAATCGGATTGTGGCGAATAGTGAACAGTTGGATATGAAGATGCATCTTGATATAAATACGGAGATTTATCCCATGCGTGTGGGTGAAAAGTTCTTGATGGGATTAGCATCAACGTTGAGCTTGGACGGAACACCAGATTCTGGTTATTATATGCCGGTATCTTTCTGCTATTCATCTTTTGCAGTTGCATCGTCTCCTGCTTTTTTTTTTTTTCTCTATTTATTTGATCTTATTGTCACTTTTCATGCCCTTTTGTCAATTTTTGAGTGTTATATGTACAAATTGGCATATTCATCTGGAGTCATTGGTTCTAATGACTCCCAGTTATTTCTGTTCAAGTTTTTTTGCCTACAATATATCGGGTGAAAAGCAGATGTACCTCTTCATTTGTGCAGGTGTATCATCTATTCCACAAATTTCATTCACTCTGCATTGCTTAACTCAAATTTCAACAGAACAACTGTTATTGAGCATTAAAATTCTCTATATTTATATGTTCCTATGCCATAAGGAGGTGTTTTGTGCCCTGGATTAGGCAACTTGATCGGACTTATCATTTTCCTATAAAAAGAGCCTCTTACCAATTACTCTCCAGAGCAGCTTTTGTACGTATTAATTATTTGTACTAGTAACTGCATGCTCTTTATTCCTGTGGCTGTAATCTATATGTGAGATGAGCAAAGATCTGTGTCCTTTTCCTCATTTAACCCTACATCTGTCCTATCAGCTTCCTTGTTCCATCAGGCAGCAATCTGAAGAGTGGAGATTGGTATTAGACTAGATAAATGAATGTGGTTTTAGATGAATAAAAATTCTTTACTCATTGGTTGCAGAATTATGAGAAGAGGGGTTAATGTTCAATTTTTTTTAGGACATGGTAATTTGGAAGGTGCTAACTTATTCCGTAAGCTCGTGTAGGAAGGCCACTTTTTGGCTTACAACAACTTTTGCGGCATTAGTTGTTCTGAAAATTGCTTTCAACTTCATAAGGTTATGCGATGTCATAGGAAATTTTACTGTTTATGGGTCATAGGGTCATGGTTGATTTATGTGCTTATCTTGATTGGTTGAGAGCAACAGAGGTGGGCGGTTTGAAGAGCTCGATAGTTTGAGGATTAGATTGTTGTAGCTTCTGTTCTTGATAAATTGAGGTGCTTGGAAACTGTTATACTGCATTTTCTAGTTATAGTACCAACCAGGAGTTGAATGGATGAGTTGGCTGTTCTTTCAGCTTCCTCTCTCTTATTCCTCTTCTTCTGTTATTGCCTTAATCAAAATCTTTTGAATCCCAAATTATAAAAAAGTACAAAGATAGGGAAATAGAATTGCAACCTTTTCTTCTTCTTTCCTTACAAATTTGCCGAACAATGTTGGCCAGCTTTTATAATTTTAACAAGTTAATTCAGGCAATTCCACTGCCTGATAAAGAGATACGTTACAGAGTGGGGTGTATTGTTATGTTCTCCTTATGGATCTCTCTGTGGAGTTTAAATTTTATTTGAAGTGAGTGTACTGGATGTATATATCCTTGTAACTTGAGATATGTCTGCAGAAGCTGTTGTTGACTCTTAGATAATTAGATTTCATCAATATGCTTTGAAACTTATGTTAGTGTTTCTCATCTTTTGTCTTGTCTTGTTGATTTCAGAGCAGAAAAACACTTGCTGACAACTATGAGTATGTCATGCAAGGGAAACTTTACAAGATAACTGAGCAGAAGAAACCTAAAAGCGGACCACCTAAAGCGTAAGCCCAATATATCTGTTGATGGCTGCCTTTATTTGAGAAGTCAACGTCTTTTGTTGTTTTTTCTTGGGGATGTTCTTTTAGGGTAGTGCTCATTGATAAAGGTTGCAGATGTTGTTCCCTGCATCCTACTTTTAAAGTGCCAAATTAGTGCCTTTGCATGGGTTTAATGCCAATATTTGATTTAATGATCCTAAGCTTTTATTTAGCTGTGGTGTCTGCTTTGTTGCCTCCGAGCAAAATACACCTTTCTCGTTCGAATGATCTTAATAAGTTCAGCATATCCAACGCTAGCTTTGATCTTAAGGTTGTATGGATCACTGATTTTGGTTTTGAACACAGGGATATATTGGCTTCTTTTGGTGGACTTCTGATGTGGTTGGAAGGGGATATCAACGTGGCTTCAAAGTTTGAACTTGACCAGCGGTTGTTTCTCCTCATAAGGAAGGTTTGAAAATTATCCAGTTGTGATTCCAAAGATGGGCACCGGATCTCTGCTAACTTTGTAAATTTCAGTCCCGTCATTTCTCCCAATAAACCGTGTTACCCTTGTTCCGGATGTAGTTATTATAATCTGTTGATGTGATCTGTTACTGCTCTCTGCGGAGAATTATTAGATGCAAATGAAAAGTATGATGTGATACTGGATTTCGAGCAAAAGCATTCAACATTTCAGATTCACGAGGTTGTAACAGGTGGCGTTAAGCATTTGTATAACGTTTCAATGCATATTTTATTTACATTGAGGAAATACGTTGATTATTGAATGAAATTTGTGTTTTGCTAACAGTCAGTCCGTGCTAATACTGTGTTCAGACACAAATCACGCCTAACAAACTTTGTTATACTGTGTTTGGAAAAAGCATGCATTCATCCAATCTCCGCCGTCCATCCAGGCATCCACAATTTTATATATATCATTACATCTCTTCTTAGCAATGGTAAACCGGGTACTCCGCCTCTACTGACTCCTAATAATACTCCGTTTCCGCCTCTTTCCCTCACGTTAGATGATCATTAGCCCCAACCATAGCCCAGATCTGCAATTCCTTCACTTTCCAATTTCCGTCAGTTGGGGGGAGCACATTTTACATTTTCACTTGGTGGGCTGCTCAGTTGAAGGTGTAAAGGAAATCTAATGAGATTAGGTGTGGATGATAGAGATTAAGGTAGAGACACTGTCTATGGATGATCAGTTCCCACTGCAATATGGATTTGAATTTGGTCCAAGTCCAAGCTTCTTTGAGTTCCTTGCTAAGGTTCATGGATTCATTTCTCCCACAAGTCGGTTGCAAAAGTTTAAACATGCCCGCAAGGAAACGAACCCATCATCAGATATGCACCGCAGTAACACCCCGTTATCTGAACTCATGGTGCCTCTCTCAAAATTTGTGCGTATGTGCGGGTGATGATTGCGGGTATGAGCGTGATTGAAGAGGATCAGATGATGTGTTACTGAAGAGGATCGGATAGATAAGTGCGAATTTGATGAAAGAGGATTACATGAATAAGCGATGTTGTTGTAGATATTCGGCGATTTAATCATATAGTGGTAAGACAAAATTAGAGCGAACATGAGAATGCAACCAGTGAAGAAGAAGAAGTAAGTGTTAAAAGTGGAAATGAGATTAAAGTGGCTCAGACAATTGTGTGGAATATGTATGAAGTTTACATTGCGACTTTCATTTTCACTTGAACTGAACAGATATATCTCATCAACCTATAAAGATTACCATTTACATCATGTTTCAAATACAGAAACTACAGCTATCTGCCTACCTGTAACTCTCAATATATAGATAAAATATCCTCGACAACCTCTCATATTGCATTATTGCTCCCTAAGCTTCTCTCCTTCCAGCTTTCGGCTAGCTAGGTACTCTGCCGATTCCTGCTCTGCTTGCGACGCACGATAGCATCTAACCTTTCAACCCTTTGCTGTTGCATTGCCTTCAAGAAACTGAACACAAAAAAGGGGGGTAAAAAACGAAAATTGATGAAAAAAATGAAAAAGTGGTGAGCTGATAAGGCTATTTCAGATCTGATAATTAAGGCAAGTAGAAAATCATTGAAGACATGTGATTCCGTTTCTGGTTACTTAGGGACATAATAAATGACTAAACTATTTAAACAGTAATTCTACTACCACATACTTAAAAAATAGAAAATAATGTGTAGTGAAAAACATATAGTAAAAAAAAAAAATTGATTGATGTTGTGAACAGTGTATGACAAAAATGTCAACAAAATTGTGAATGCCCATAAACGGTGGCATAGTATCTAGATTTTTGTTCAATTATGCTTATTTCCATTAATGCCATAATTACATGAAGGGTTTATTTACATGTCTCCTACTTCTAGATTTCATGAAATCGGAATACATGAAATCAACATTTTTATTTTTCATTCATTCCTAAATTTTCCATCAAAAATTTACTTATATCTCTTTCTTTCCTTCCTTCTAAACTTTAAAAATTTTGAAGTTATTTCATAATATCTAAACTATAAAAAAGTTAATATATTAAAGTCTTTAATATAGAAGTTATATAAATTAAATTTATTACTACTCAAATAAATAATTTATTAGAATCATGGCTTGGAAAGTTATCTTGGACATTAGTTTTAGAACAGGTACTAAATAACTTACGTCCATCTACTTAGAGTAGAATAATGAGTTCTATCACGATGAAGTAAGAATACTCCCAAATCAGTTCGATAACTTGCAGTTAATCTCCAAAACGTAGGAACTTCTTCGTCATAGGAGCTGAGATTAATGAATCCCTATAACTGGGTGAAGTTCTTCAAGTTTTATCCTTTCTTCCACTCCATTTTACCATCCCTCCTCAGTTATAGTTATACCATGCTTGCACACACGCACCAAGGAACATTTAGACAAGGCGATGCCTGGAAGTAGCTTTTTTAGCATTTCCTAAGCATTTAGCATCTTCATTGCATCCCTTTCATCACCATCTTCACGTGCGACCCTTGTTAGAATAGTCAGTGGTTCCTCCTTGTCGTCACAACCCTAGAATTATATGAGGTAAAAAGAAGATCGTAGGGAACCGATTGGAAGGGAGATAAAATATACTCTCTTTGTCCCAAAATTATTATACAGTTTGAAATTTTCATTTTTAGTACAATTTAACCTAGAAATAAAAGTACAAACTGGATAATAATTATAAGACGGATGGAGTAGTTGGCAACAAATGAATGACCAGAGAGATTGGGATTTACCTCTCGATAATAACGGGTCAAATAACATCATGTGGCAGGTGCTATTGTTGCACAAATACCAAGTAGAATTAAATCAATAATCATCTGCCCACATAAAACTGGAGAAACCAAAATCAAGAAGAGCCATACGTGAAAATTTTCCTTACCAAAATAAAATATACTAAACGACAACCACTATATCTAACCTTTTGTGACTATCTATGCAAAGGAAATTCCAGTCGCAACATCCTCAGGTTTTCGCTGTCCAATCCCATTTGAGCTGCCACCCTCTCAATAATACTTGAAATATCTACACTCTCACTCTCACTAGTTTGCAAATTTGTGGTCATCCCATCTTCTCCACTCGGAACCTGGTCAAGGATTATCATCAGCAACAAAAAGACAGACGAAAGCGAAACTAAAAGCAATAAACAATTTTCCCAAAATGAAACTTCACGAAATCACAAAACAAGCCATAATGAGCAGACCTACAGTAAACGAACCTACTTGCAATTATACGAAATCACACAGATCATGTTACAGCTTCAACATAAGGTGTATGTGAAAGGATCATATGGAAGGAAAGGGAGAGGGAAAGGATCATATGGAGAGAGTGGTAAATCAACATTAGCCAAAGAAAGCCCCTCAACTGCCTCAATCAATACACATTAGAAATTAAAACAACATTATTAGATTTAACATTTTTTGTTTATTTTCTCATTGGGAAAAATTGAAGGAGAATAAATTTTTGTAATCTCGGAATCAGTATAATGTTTATTTTTAACATCCAAAACACAGATTGTGTTTTATTATGGAGCTCCCCAAGTGGAGTCAGGAATATGTGCCTCAAGGCTGTTCAGGGAAAGCAAACAAGTACTTATAGAAACGCTGGTTGCAAGTTCACTTTGGTAGTGACAAACAGAAGAAAATTAGCTAAAAAGAAAACTTAGTCTAATAACTGAGATAGAAATAAGACAATTAACATGAAACAGAGACCCTTTTCTAGTTTAAGAATAAGCTTCGCGATATCTAAAAAGCCGAGTTCAGTGAACCAGCAAAACGAAACAAATAACGAACGAGGCACCATAAAAAGCTGACAGCTCACGGTGACCGGCCGGGAATTGGGGGGAAAAAAACCCTAGCTCCCAGCTTTGGTATAGATGAAACAAATTCAAACCGTACGACAAATAATTCACAAACATGAAAATAGATAATTATAGTAAAATTAAAGATAAAGACAGATCCTACCTTGGAAGGAGACAAGAAAATAAGAGTCACAAGTAAAACTAAAGGAAAAGACATGTGGGAGTGGTTAAGGATTTGTAATTTGTAAATATATAGGTTTTTAATACAAGGTTTCCGGGAAGATATTAAAACAATTTTGATTCAGTTCAAGTGAAAGCGAAGAAATTGTTTGCTTAAAAAAATTAACATTTTGCGGAAAAAAAAAACTCCTATTAGAAAATAGAAAATATTAATCTTTAACATACCTATATTATTTCATCATGTTATCTTAATGTTTTCCATATTAAGATTAAAATATTATCATCTAGACACTTTGGAAATAGATTTTGCGCAGTGGACTAATAGACATTATTAAAGTCAGCTAATCCAAAAGAAAATTATACAAATAACAAATGAACTGTTTCGTATGTATGAAGTCTTTTTAAGCTTTTTTTTTGGATTAACTACGTAGCTAACCGTTTCATATTTCACATGGAATACAAATCTCCTCACCTAAAAGAAACACAATCATCCTAAGGCCCAAGTAAACAAATGCTATTACAAAATCAAAAGTCAATTGAGGGTGTTCCAATGGCAAAAGTCCCGGAAAAAGATTTTGGAGATCAAATTGGGATGTTTGAATTTTTGGACGACGGAGAATTTTTTTTGAAGCGGATTTGGACGAAGAATTGAACGTAGCTAGTTTAGATGCGAAGCTAGTACAACCTAGTTTCAACAAGAGACATCGTAGTGTTTCTTATAACAAAAAATCGACATCTTTTCCGCAAATAAAAGGCAGTTCAAAAAACGAATGAGAATGACTATGGTGTTGTAACGTCTAATTGTATAAATGATTCAATCGTTCAATTAATAATTCAAACGATTATATTTATTCACGGTAGTAATGTCTAATTATTGGATCAGCAATGTAAACATTTCGTTGTATTTTTTGGATAATCAATTGGGGTGTAGACAATACAATTTTTTTTAAAATGATTATGATTAACAACAATCAAAAAGAATAAATATTTGTTGGAAAATGAATGGCAAAATATATTAAATGTGATTATGCACAAAGCAAGGAGAACTATTAAGCATACTCCCTCCATTTTGAAATATATGTCGTTTTAGGATTTAGTAAATTTTTTTAAATATATGTTGTTTTCACAAATCGAGGCACATTTGACCACTTTTTACCAATATTATCCTTTCATAGGAAATGATATTATATTTATAATGAATTTTTATTGGTTTGTGATGAATTGCATGGACAATAAATAAGAGTATTTTTGTATTTTAACTACATTAATTAATATTTTTTTAGTTTTGATGATTTCTCTAGAAAGACATAT